TCAATCTGAGGATCATAGTTTGAAACCAGCCTGGGCAGCAAAGTCCGTGAGACTTTTATCTCCAATAAACTATTCAGAAAAAGCCGAAAATGGTGCTGTGGCTCAAGTGGTAGAGCACTAGCCTTGAGTAAAAAAGGTCAGGGACAGCACCTAGGCCCTGAGTTCAAGCCCCAGGAGCAGAAAAAAAAAAAAAGACCTGCTCTACTGAATGGCAGACCTTGACCAGCAAGCTGGCACTCTCCTGGGCTGGCAGCTGCATAGACTGCCTCAAGCAGGCTCATCACAGCCTGCTCATGGCTCAGACATGGAGATGCCAGGTGGATCCTTCTACCATCCTGGGGATTGAACCCAGAACCTCATGTATGCTAGCACACAATGTACCACTGCCTTTTAATCTGTAAAATTAAATACCCATTTATTATTGGGGCACTTCATGACCCTATACGCACACGGCCTCCCTACATGGACTTGGCCTCTCCTTTGTGCATGCAACCTCTCCTTGGTTGGCCTCTCCTGGGTATCTATCCTGCAGCTGGGAAGGTGGTTGCTGAAGGATTGGCCCCCACTCTATTATCCTAGACACATTCAGATGACAGGCAAAACCCCAGGTGTGTGTGTGGAGGTGCTTGGCATGCAGGCAGGGCGATCCACCTAAACGTCCCCTTGTGGGCCCAGCTGTAAAGCTCCCGTCTCCCTAGACCCAGTGGCTTTTTCATTAACCCCTGCTCCTTGCTCAGACACCATATAAGCCTGACCCTAAGTCCACCTCCTTGTACAACCTCTGATCCCATGGGAATGTTGCTGCCCCTTGCTGCTATATCTCAATAAACAGTTCTAACTGCCCTAATATACCTGACCTTGAAATGCCAGCTCAGGATGCCTCCCAGGTAGCTCAGCTTGCACCCCTAGGCAATGCCAGGATCCTTCCACAGTCTTGGTGCTGGGCCAGCTTGTTGAATAGAACACACCCTTCTCTCCCTGAACCTCAGCCCTGTGTCTCCCCAAAAGCTTGCCAGCCCCTTCCTGAGACTACCTGTCCATCTGGGGAGAAGCTGCCCAGTCTTCCCTTGGTGAACTTTTCCATTCCTAACCTACAACCCCTCCTTCTTCTCAGTGCCTCAGCCCCTGGAGCCCAGAAGGCACCTGTCAGTCAGCAGGGGGCTGGGCAGGGCTTGGGCAGCTTCTGCCCCTCCCCTGGAGAGGAAGGGCTCAGAGTCAGTGTGGGGCATGAGACAAATTGAAGGAGATCTTAAGGGGCGTGGGAGACTGTTGTAAGAGGATTGGGACAGCAGAAGTAGATGTCCTTCAAGTATTGACTGAGAAGCCAGTGGCAGAATGTAAAAGTTTTGACATCCTGAATGTTTGGTTGGGGACAAGATGGGGGAAATCCTGGAAAGCAGGAGAGGGGTAGGGCCTGGCCAGAGGGCCTGGTGCTGGAGAGGAGTCTGGAGATCTCAAGGTGTCATGTGGTATCCGGTGTGTGGTTGGTTATGTGGTGAGGCAGGATGCTGGAGGCTGTGAATCCCCACAGGAGCCTAGGGCAGCCATCAGTGGATTTGGTCCTGGCTGTGAATGATTCAAAATCCTACCAAATAGCCCTGAGAACAAGGACATTGTCATCTGAAAGGAGCCTGGGAAGAGGGTGGCAGTGGAGAGGGGCTGGGTGTAGGGAGAGACAACCATGGGGAGGAGGTGGCTCCGAGCCCTGGCAATGCCTTAGAGGAACAGGGCTGCCTTGGGCTGGACCATAGCTTGGTCTATAGGAAACAGCATAGAGGCACAGCATTTGTCCCAAGGCTGTTGTGTGGGCAAATGCTGTCTTCTCCCCTTTTTCCCATATCACCTCCTGCTCCATGTCCTAACTGCCTCCTCTTACATCAAACCTATACACACTATCAACTCAACCCCCTCTTTAAAGACCCCATCTGAGCTGGCCCCAAGACTCATGCCTGTCATTCCCAGCTACTTGGGAGGCCAAGAATGAGAGAATCCTGGTTCCAGCCTGGCCCTGGCAGAAAAGTCTTTGAGTCTATAAATGCAGTTACATCTTGAGGTACTGGGAGTTAGAGCTTCAATGTAAGCATGGGGGCACCATTCATCTGTGTCTAGAATAGCCCCCCTCCTGGTAGTGTGATGCCTGCGTGTCTTTTTATTATCTCATGGCCAGAGTCATGTTGCAGCCACCACCAGCCAGGAGAGGGGACCACTCAGATCAAGGGAGACCAGAGCAGCCTTGACAGGCATGGCCCTGTGGGGCAGACATACTGCGGGGTTAAGCCACTGTACTGAGGTAGGTAACTGAGGCAATGGAAAGGCTGTGGATAAGGGAATGGGAGGTGAAGAAGGAGCCCACAGTGGAGGCCCAGACAGAGTGGTGAGAGACCCGCACAGAACCCAGAGGGCCAGGACCCGAGGCATTTTCCCTTCATTTAGAGGGGAAAGGAGATTAGAAGGGCATTTGGGCTTACTGCCCGGGGGTGGGGGGGTGGGGGGAGGTGGACTATGGGCCTCAAACAGACCAGAATTGAGCTGGAGGGCAAGGACAGAGCCTGGAGCAAGTTCCTGTCCCTGGGAGAGGGGGAGGCATAAAATGCAGAAAAGGAGTTTGTTCCCACATTGACTGGTGCCTAATTGGCCTTGAGCATGAGGCCAGTCAGGGCCCAGGAGGGGGACACTGCAGGGAAGAGGAGGTACAGGCCGAGCCAGCTGACTGCAGGTCAGCAGAGTGCACGTACAATGGTGTCACAGCCTGTTCCGAGCAGGCTGTGCGCTGGGCTGATAGGGCAGCTCAGGCGGGACCAGGCAGATGCTGAGGGAAGACAGGGAGGTGGGAGCTGGGCTGATAAGGGTGGGCCCCTGACTCTGACATCGCTTTCTTTTGAAGTTCCTAGAGGGAGAAGCTAGGATCAGACTTGTTAGAACTGGGTCTGTGCTCTGAATTTAACCGACCTGTGGGTGAGGGAGGCCACAAGCACTGGGCAAACTCTTCTTGCTAAACTCTTTTTGGAGTTTTTAAAATCATTTTTAATTTTAATTTTTATTGTTATTATGAAAGTGGTATACAGAGGGGTTACAGTTACATAAATCAGGTAATAAGTACATTTCTTTTTTTGCCAGTCGTGGGGCTTTAACTCTGGGCCTGTGGGCTGTCTCTGAGCTCCTCAGCTCAAGAGCAGTGCTCTGCCACTTGAGTCACAGCACCACTTCTGGTTTTCTGGCAGTTTATTGGAGATAAGAGTCTCACACACTTACCTGCCTGGGCTGGCTTTGAACCATGATCCTCAGATCTCAGTCTCCTGAGTAGCTAGGATTACAGGCATGAGTCACTGGCGCCCAGCATGAATACATTTCTTTTTGGACAATGTCACCCTTCCCTCACTCTCTCCCAGTTTTTCCCTCCTGTCCCCACTTATACAGTTCACTTTTAATTTTGGGTCTAGTGAGTGGCACTGCTGCATTTGTTCACTCTTTGTCTCTTCATTTCTGTGCACCCCTTACCCTCCCTTTTTTATTTCTAAGGGCTAATGCCTTTATTGGAAAATATTCAAACAACTCAGTGGATTAAGCCAAAAGTTAAAATATAATTTCCAGAGCTGGGAAGGTGGCTCAGTGGTAGAGCGCTTGCCTTGCATGCTCGAGGCCCTGGGTTCAATTCCTCAGCACCACATAAGCAAAAGGAAAAAAGCCGGAAGTGGCGCTGTGGCTCAAGTGGTAGAGCGCTAGCCTTGAGCTGAAGAGCTGAGGGACAGCGCCCAGGCCCAGAGTTCAAGGCCCCACGACCGGACCCAAAAAAACCAACCAAACAAACAAACAAACATAATTTCCAAGAGGGAATACAATTGATAAGTATGGAGAAAATGTTTAAAATCAAGAGTAATGCTAGTTAAGACCATACTTTTACACAATCAGCCAAACAAAGGAATATTACCTTCCTGCAGGCCTTTGGCTTAACCCTTTCTTTTTTTTTATTTTTATTTTTTATTGTGAAAATACCGTACAGAGGAGTTACAATTACATGGGCAAGATAACAAGTACATTTCTTATCAAGCATTGTTGCCTCCTCTTTGTTTCCCCTTCCCATCTCTTCCCATACTCGCCCCCGCCCCCCGTCTTCCCCCACCCAATCCTCCCCCCCACCACCAAAGTTGTAAAGTTCGTTTTTCGACATAACGACTTGTACATCTCATTGTTGCAATGGGTCCACCTGTATCCCAAGTTAAACAATTTGTTTTTGCCCTTCCCCTCCACAAATTATACCAACATCAAATACAGTGAAAGTAGGGGTTATACCATGGGGGAGGGACATACAAAGCAACATAGAAATCGTCTTATAAATATGTTAGAAACAATTGCATGAAAAACAAAAAACATTTAACCCTTTCTTTATCTCTCTCCTCCATGCCTCAAGTCAGCCTGGCTGTTAGAGGTGGTTCCTCTGCACCCGCTAGGGGCCTCATGGATTTGCGTACTTCTGAACAGCTCCATCCTGTGGATGGAGGTGAAACTAATGCCCAGGTCTCCTGTCCTCTCCCTGGCAAAATCTGCCTATAGGCCCCAAATTCAGATCTGATGGGGTACTCAAAACTGATTGTGAATAACAGTTTAATTGCATGTTAAACAAATTGTTTTTACCCCCACAAACAAGATTTTCTCTACCACTTTTTTAAAAACATACATCCCATCCAGTGTGTATGATTTGTCTGTTTCTTTTTGTTTGTTGTTATATTTGATAGAATTTCTTCTCTGTTGTGGAAACTCCAGGGACAGGTGAGACAATAAAGGCACTGCCACTGTAGCCCCGGCTGACCCGGGCCTCACAGTTTATGACAAAAACCTCAACTTTGATGATTCCCTTCCCACCTCCACATTGTACAGACAGACTCCATTTGCAGACTTGGCTAGCTAGACCACCAGCCTCAGCCAGGCCCAGCCCCTGATTTTCCCTGCTCCCATGGGCCAGAGACAGAAAGGGGCTCTGCCAATTATGCCTTCTCTTCCAGCACTGGCCAGTGTTCACAGAAGTTAAAGACCTTTTGACGTTGGTGCCGCCACTGGTGGGCCTGAAGGGGAACCTGGAAATGACCCTGGCCTCACGACTCTCCACTGCGGTAAGTAAATGGATGCCCCAGGCCACCCACGGTCTGGGGACGCAGTTCCCTGTGGCCTCTCCTCAGTGATGCACACTCTCCAGTGGGTATGCAGCTTTGTTTTGTTATGATGCTTTCCTGGTCACCTGAATCCTACTTACCACAGCCAAACGAGACTTCAGGTGAGGAGCCAGCTCAGTGCTCCTGGCCTCCCATTCCCCTTTAGTCAGACAGTTGGTTCTGCATGTCGGCATGCTGCTACTCCCCCCACAACCTCCTAGACCCTGCTGTTCCTTCACACTTGCACAACCAAGGCCCAGCAGCCAGTGTGGGCCCAGGTAAGATCCTGTAGTGGGGACAGGAAGGGTCTTAATCACCCAGAGTAGCAGGGTTTCCCAGAATGCTCTGTTCTCCGGACTGGTTTTTCCTGGTGCCCAAGAACCAGAGATTCCTGGCTGTGCCCTCTTCCCATCTCTTCCACAGGGCTGAGTCCCCTCCTGTTAACAGATAGTGGTTCTTTCTTTCTGATGCCCACTTCATACCCTGCTTGGACAGAAGACTGGCAGCTGTATTCAGGGACCCGAGAGAACAGCTAATACACAGAGGGCTGGGAAGGGGACCTGCTGGAGAGAGAGAGGGATGGGCTGTGGGCAGCTGAATGGCAGGCCTCAAAGACAGCCAGAATGTGACTCCTGAGACATTCTGTATCCCCTTATTGGTTATGTGATCCACAAATGCTTTCTCCCATCCTGTAAGTTAACTTTCACTCTGTTGAACAGTTGCATTTTCAGATCATTCAGTTTATTTTTACTTTTTTTTTGCATTACATTTTTAGGTTGCTTTGAGAAGTTCTAACATCTATCTGTTCAGTTTGCTGTATCTTCTGTAACTTCTATCCAGCATTGCAAATTTTCTGTGTGTACATCTCTTGCTTCCTACAGTTACCTCCTAAATGTGACTTATCTTTTTTATGCCATTAATATGGAATTTCCTTAATTCCCTTTGAATTGCCCATTGTTAATGGACAGTCATCATGCCAATCAACAGAAACACAATTGATTTTGTATTTTGCAACTGAATTCATTAATTCAAATGGGATGTGTGTGATATGTAAAGTTTTCATCTTATAAGATGCAGGTAATTCTATTTTCTCCTGTTCAATGTGAATAGTCTTCCTTCTTTTCAAGCCAGGGCTTCTGGTGCCTTGTTGAATAGGAGTGTTGAGAACAGATGTATGTGTCCCACGCTGACCTTCCAGTCTGTCTTACTGTGTCTTCCTAGGTGGAGATAGCTGCCGTCTGTTCCTAGTTGTGGGTGTCATCTTGAAAGGGATGGAGTTTTTTTTTTTTTTTTTGTCGGTCGTGGGGCTTGAACTCTGGGCCTGGGCGCTGTCCCTCAGCTCTTCAGCTCAAGGCGAGCACTCTACCACTTGAGCTTCAGCGCCACTTCTGGTTTTCTGGTGGTTTATTGGAGATAGGAGTCTCACGGTCTCTCCTGCCCAGGCTGGCTTTGAACCGCGATCCTCAGATCTCAGCCTCCTGAGTAGCTAGGATTATAGGCGTGCACCACCAGCGCCCAGCTGAAAGGGATGGAGTTTTGTCACATGCTTTTCATGCATTAGTGGAGATGGTCACTTGGTTTAGATTATTCTAAGAAGACATGTTATTTCTTGTGTGTTGCCCTTGTACCCCAAGAATAAGTTCTGAGAGGTCGAGGGGTGTAGTGTTTTCCATATACTGTTATGTCAGTCTGTTAGTATTTTGTAGAAGACTTGTTTTTCATAATGTTCATTAGTGATACTGGGTCTATGATTTTGTTTTCTTATAGTATCTTCTTGGAATGACTTGGAGCTGTTCCTTGCTCTTCAGTTTTTCAGAGGAGTTAGAGAAGATTGGTGTTAATTCCTTTGTAAAATCTAGTACAGTTCACCAGTTATGCCATCTTAATCCTAAATTTTCTCTATTGGGAAGCTTTTGATTATTGATTCAGTTTCTTGACAGTTACTGATAGGTCTGCATTTCCTATTTCTTTGTGATTCAGTCCTGGATATGGGTTTCAAGGCATTTTTTCTTTTCCTTTTCCTTTTTTTTTTTTTTTTTTTTTTTTGCCAGTCCTGGAGCTTGAGCTCAGGACCTGGGCACTGTCCTTGAGCCTCTCTGTGCTCAAGGCTAGCACTCTACCACTTGAGCCACAGTACCACTTCTCTTTATGTGGTACTGAGGAATCAAACTCAGGGCTTGATGCATGCTAGGCAAGCACTCAACGGCTAAGCCACATTCCCAGATCCTCAAGGTGTATATTCTGAGTTAGGTTATTTAGTGCTTTCACATATAGTTTTGACATATATCTTCTATCTGTAGATTTGGTAGCAATGTCCACATTTTGAATTTCTAATTACGGTTTTTGTGAGTCTGTGTGTGTGCGTGTGTGTATGTGTGTGTGTGTGTGTGTGTGTGTGTGTGTTAGTTTAGCTAAAGGTTTTGAATTGCTTTGATCTTTTTGAAGAACCAACTCTTGGCTTCATTGATTTTTCTCTAGTATCTCCTCTATACATCTTTATTACTTACTTTTCTTAGCCTTGTGTTAATTTGGTGTTAATTTGTTCTTTTCTCTGCTTTCTGAAGGTATAACTTTTACTTGGTTGATTTCAGGTTCTACTTCTTTCCTATTCTTTTTTTTTCTTTTTGCTGGTCCTGGGCCTTGAACTGTGGGCCCAGGCACTGTCCCTAAGCTCCTTTTGTTCAAGGCTAGCATTACTACTTGAGCTACAGCACCACTTCTGATTTATTCTGTGATAAGAGTCTTACTTTCCTGCCTGGGCTGACTTCAAACCATGATCCTCAGATCTCAGCCTCCTGAGTAGTTAGGGTTATAGGCGTGAGCTACTAATGTATATATAAATATATATGTATATGTATATATATACATATATATGTATATATATACACATATATGTATATATATGATGTATATATATGATGTATATATATGATATATATATATATATATATATATATATATATATATATATATAATTGCATTGCATCCAGGTGCTGGTGGCTCACACCTGTAATCTTAGCTACTCAGGAGGCTGAGGTCTGAGCATTGCAGTTCAAAGCCAGCCCAGGCAGGAAAGTTCATGAGACTCTTTTTTTTTTTTTTTTTTCATGAGACTCTTATCTCCAATTAACCAGAAAACCAGAAGTGGCACTGTGGCTCAAGTGGTAGAGTGCTAGCCTTGAGTTGAAGAGCTGAATAGCAGTGCCCAGGCCGTGTTCAAGACCCACAACTGACTATATATATCTTAATCCTGAATCCTGCTTTTCCTGAGTCTTGTAAGTTTTTAATAGATTGTGTTTCATTTGCCTGAGATATTTTCTAATTTCCCTGGGATTTCTTCATTGGTTCTTCAAGGATACAGTTGTCTAATTTCTATATGTTTGAAGACTTTCTCTTTTGACCTTTTGCTATTGGTTTCTAATTTCATTCTCTTGTAATTGGGAATGATATGTTTTACCATAAGTATATTAACACCTCTTTGTGGCCTAGCCTCGCTCTTCTGTGGAGGACACATATGTTCTTCTTTTCTTCTGTTTATGTCCACCAGGTCCCCACATTCCTCAAGCCTCTTCTGTCTTCTTGTGTCCGCTACTGATTGTGGGCGCTCAAGTCCCCAGCTGTAATTGTAAACTTGTTTGTTCTGCCCTCAGTTCGCTCAGTGTCTGCCCCATGTGGTTACATCAACTGATGTACATTCAGTAGGTGTGTATATAATTGTTGCATCTTGTTGATTTGACCCTGGTATTTTTAGAGAATGTCCTTTGTCTCATAATAGCTTTTCAGTCTTTATTTGGTGCTCATAAGCCACCATTGCCCTCTCTCTACAACTGTGTGTGGATGTCTCCTGTATCTGTCCACTCTCACTCTATGTGTGTCATTAAACAGGATGTGAGCATCTCACAGACAGCCTGGAGGGATGTCCCATGATGCCTACCTAGATCTCCAGGGCCTGTGTCCTCTCCTCCATCCCCACCCACAGAGGAAGCTTTGTGCTGGCCACTGACAAGCAGGGTGATTTGTCCTGATGTTGGTGGAATGGTATTTCTTTATCTCTCTTATGTGACTGCCCATTGCTTTGGGTCCAGCCAGACATACTATGTCCCTTTTCTGTACCCTAGGCCAACACCGGGCAAATTGATGACCCCCAGGAAAAACGCAGAGTTATCAGCAGCAACCTCGCCCTTGTGCAGGTCAGTCTCTGTTTTCCTGTTTTGTCAGACTGACACTTCTCCTTCTTGGACCTGGAGCAGGCAAAGTCTGGGTGGGAGAAGGCAACACAAACCTTGTCCTGCACTCCAAACTGAGCTTTGAGGACAGGGGTCCACTGGCCATCTGTCTACCAGACTGCATTCCTACAGCAGCTCAGAGGCTTGCCCTCCTCCGGACACCACCACAGCCTCCTGCATCCTGGGATCCACATTCCCATCCCCAGCCCCTTATGGCTTCACCCCAAGTCAGGTCCTTGAAGGACTCTCCTTATGAGTAGCCTTGCTGTTAGTACCTTCAAGGTAAAGACACAGCTCACCTAGTCCTCTAGCTGATAGACTTGGACTTTGCCTTTTGTAAGGGGCCTTAATTTTTCTGAGGGTCTAGGGTCCTTCCTTCCTGGACCTAGGACCTGTCTCTGCTGCTGTGTGTCCCTTCTCAGTCTTTGGGGCATCTGTATAGAATGCTGCCTGCCTGCAGTATCCTCTAAAGGGCCATGCAGTAGAAAGTGGGTCCCTGTTGGGACTACTGGAAATGGTAAGGCCCTTAGAAACTAACCTGGCACGTGGCACACACCTGTAATCCTAACACTGGGGAGGCTGGATTGCAAGATTGAGGTTGCATAATATGACCCCGTCTCAAAAATCAAATGAAAAAAATACAAGCAGAGCTTAATTGGGGCCTTAGGTCGCTGGTCCTGTCCTTGATGGGTGCTGTGGGGCTCAGTCACTTCTTCCTCTGGCCACAGGGGTGTGGGCTCGCTCTGACATGCACAAGCCCAAAAGCAATGAGGCCAACCTACCATGGACCAACACCTCCAAAATCCTGAGTGCTTGTCTAAGTTGCTTAGCTCAAGCACGTGGTTCTAGTTTAGAACTTTGCCTCACACACTGCCATCCCCTGGTCACATTGGCTGGGACACATCCTCCCCATTTTCCAATCAAGAAATTGAATCTCCCCAGCTGCTCCCCTCCCTCACCCTCACCCCAGGCACTCAGGGCTCCTCCTCCTCCAGCTGCTCCCAGCACATCTGTCGCTATCCTCTGTCCCTTTGCTGCCTGCCCAGGGCTCACTCTGGGGCCCCCAGGGGCTGAGCCCCAGCCCTGCCAGGAGCAGCCGCTTCTGCATGCTCCTCTCTGCTGTCTGTGTGCACGGAAGTGGGCCTGTGGCTAGTGCGGCTCTGCCTCTGCACCAGGCCTGAAGCCGTGGCTGACAGTGTGGGCAGTGATGCTGCGGGCATAGATTTTACTTAAGTGTACTCCAGTTCTTGCCCAGGTGTGTGTTTCCATGTAACTGAGTAACTGAGCCTTAGCACTGTTGATGAAGCTGTGGGCAGACTGTAGGGTGAAGGACAGAGGCAGTGGTGAGGGACGAGTGCATCCCTCTAGGTAAGCGAGGAGGTGGGAGAAAGGCAGTGGCAGGTGGGGGGCTAAAGGGTCTCATGTGTCTGATTGGTGCCCTGCAGGTGCAAGCCACCGTCGTGGGGCTCCTGGCTGCCATGGCTGCCCTGCTGCTGGGCACCGTGTCTCGGGAGGAGCTGGACTTGGCCAAGGTGGCCTTGCTGTGCGCCAGCAGTGCCATCACCGCCTTCCTTGCCGCCTTTGCCTTAGGTGAGCCTGTGTGTTCCAGTACCTGGAGGCGTCCTCAGTATGTGGGTAGACTGCTGGGACCCCAGCACTGCCCTGGGCTGTGGCCGCGGCAGACCCCTCCCCGCTGTCTGTGTAAGAGCCTCAGCCTTTGCACACCTTCTCACACACTTCAAAAGAAGATGCCGGTCTGGCCACAGATGGGGCACAAATTGGCTCCTGACAGTGGCTTTGGACCATATTGAGGGAGTGATTATAATTGTCCTAATGTGTTTCTTTGTGTATTTTTGTTCCCGTCTAGAAGAACTTGAGCTCAGGGCTTAAACATCACCCTTGAGCTTTTTCACTCAAGGCTGGTGTTCTATCACTTGAGCCACAGCTCTCTGCTTCTGATTTTTTGATGGTTAGTTGGAGAAGAGAGTCTCACAGACTTTCCTGCCCAGGCTGGCTTCAAACTGTAATCTTCAGATCTCAGGCTCCTGAGTAGGTAGGATTACAGGCCTGAGCCACCACCACTGAATGACTTGTTTATGTATGTATGCATTCATGCAATGCATGCCAGTCCTGGGGCTTGAAGTCTGGGCCTGGGCGTTGTCCCAGAGCTTCTTTTGCTCAAAGCTGACATTCTACCACTTGAGCTATAGTGCCACTTTCAGCTTTTTTTGAGTAGTTGATTGGAGTTAAGAGTCTGTCCCATAGACTTTCCTGCCCAGGCTGACTTCAAACTATGATCTTCAGATCTCAGCCTCCTGAGTTGCTGGAATTATAGGCACCATCCACCACTACCTGGTGACTCGTTTATTTTTTATGCGTGGTGTTGGGGAGTGAAGCCAGGCCCTTGCTATAATTATTTCTAGAGTCACAGTATTCCTAGTGATGTGTTAAGCCTCCAATAACCATGATGCAGAGTATTTTCTTAAAGAACCAAGTGAGTTTCTGCATCCAGTCCGAGCAGTGGATGGGATGGATGGAGTCTGTACCATCAGGGGTTCTTGGACAGGCAGGGGCCTTAGGGTCCTGGCATCCATAGGGGTTCCTGTCAGATCTCTGAGCCACACTCTGTCACCTGCCTGTCACTTCCCGACCTGGGAAGACATGAATTGATAATCACTGTCCACTGAAAGCACGCAGGCCCCTGAGATAAGGGACCTCAGAGGGCCAAGCTGAGCTCCCAGCACCAGGGTGGCATCTAGACTCCAGCCACCTCTGTCTCTTCCTCCCATCCGTGGGGCCCACCCCCTCATCTGTGACTGTGAGCTCCACATCCTCATGGTTCCAGGTCACCTGACCTGATCTGGGATATTTTTGGGCCATTCTGACATCATGTGCACAGATCACAAAGCCAAATCTGACTCCAGATGCCTCAGGCCTCCAGGGTGGCTGAGAAACTGTGAGTGGGACAGTCCACTATGCCTCTGGGGAGGTAGACAGAGCCAGTTGATAAGCAGCTCTTCCATGCCAAGGCCCCTGGGGGCTCCAGCCCTCCTGGGGCCACTGCCCCTGAGCCTCGTCCCTTTTCTTTGCAGGACTGCTCATGGTCTGCATAGTGATCGGTGCTCGAAAACTGGGGGTCAACCCAGACAACATTGCCACACCCATTGCGGCCAGCCTGGGAGACCTCATCACACTGTCCATTCTGGCCTTGGTTAGCAGCTTCCTGTACCAACACAGAGGTAGGAGGGGCACCCATCATGGGCATTTCAATTGGGTGGCACCGTGTACCAGTCCAGTCCTGCAGTGCCAAAGCTTGGGGTCACTGTGCAGAAACCAGGTTAGAAAGAAAAGCACAACTCCAGCTGTGGACATGGATGCCAGTCTCTGCTTGTGGGACAGAGGTGGGCAGGGAGGCTGTTGAGGACCTGAGGCTGCTCCGGCCATTTGGTTGTGTCTTGAAGGGATGAGGCCAGCAGGAGCAGAGGCCACTGGCCTAGACAAAGGGAATAGCCTCAAAGCTCTGATTCCCCCACCGTGCCCCATGGGAATCCAGACCCAGCCAGGTACCTGGGCTATTCCTGACCCAGCTGTAGACCAGCTCCCTGGTAATTCATCATCTGAGAGAGACTCAAGGTTTGTATAAGTGACAGGGACGATTCATAAGAATCAGAACCAATAACCTAACTTTGAACTTCCACCAAACTGAATCAAAATGAGCAGATTTGCATAGGACTTAACTATTTGTATTTGATTGTAAAAGGAATAAGAATTCTCAGACCCTCTCTCTGTCCTCCACTGGCCCCAGCTTATTCCAGCATATGACCTAGGATTCAGTCTGTCCACCACTGTCTGGTCTGTCTCTCCCATGAGTCTATGAAGGTTTCTGGTACACTCAGGAGTCAGGGGTCTTGACCTGATAAGTCCTTACAGCTGAGGGGAGAGTTGGCTGCCCACTCGATCCCTGAGCATAGGGTTTACGTACACATCACTGTGCTAGAACAAATACGAGATGGGGGTCTCCGGCCCTGTGAGCAATAGCTTCTCACCTATAGTGTGCAGGCACTGAGGCCAGGCTGCATGCCATCCATGCCCCATGAGCTGTGTGTGCTTTCTGTTCTAGATACCTGGTACCTGACACCACTGGCCTGCGCGGGTCTTATGGCTCTGATCCCGCTCTGGGTGGTCATTGCCAAGCAGAACCCGCCAATCATGAAGATCCTGAAGTTTGGGTGGTTCCCCATTGTGCTGGCCATGGTCATCAGCAGGTGAGTGCCCCAAGTGCTGCCTGGCCTGCTGGAGTCCGTGGGCCGCGAGTGAGGTGACACCAGTGCCCCGGGAGGCTGCAGTGGTGTGCGGTCATGGTGATGTGTGGCAATAGCTCCTGGACTCCTTTATCTCTGCTTTCATTGTCTCTTTCACCAAAAATCTAAGGCCTCATTCTCTGTCTGAGCTGTACCCTGCTTACAGAGCACCAGGGGGCCAAGGCAGAGCCGTGGGCAGGGCAGGGGAGGGTGGATCTGATGGGCACCCTGGAGCCTAGAAATTCTCCCCAACATGGTGCTGTGGCTTTTACAAAGGCCAGTGCTGGACCAGGACTCAAGCAGGCTGCTGTTGCTCCCTACAGCCTCGGGACCTCCATGTAGGCCACAGTCCCTCTCCCTGGCCTTGAGGTCCTGCTGACTCTGTGGCCGCTGTCTGCAGCGTGGCTGCTGCAGCACTTCAGAGGCCTGTCTCTGGTGGGGTTGTCTCTGCCCACCAGGCTGTCTTCCTCCACCCCTTCCTGCTGGACACCGGACGGGGCCTCTCTAGTCCACTGTAACATGTTCTACCCTAAACCTCAGGCAAAAGAGGTTGAGTGAAGTCCAAAAATTGTTGCTTCTAGAAGGTTCCAGGAACCTTACATCATTGGATCTACTTTCTCCAAATCTCTTAAGTTATCCAAGAGGTGGGCAAGCCTTTGCTGAACTCCAGGAGGAGCATGAATGATGTGGCAACATTATCATCTTGGCCACAGTGAGGGTACTGTGTCCGCCCAGCAGCAACAGAGCTGAGACTCGTCCTTGTGTAAAAGGTTGCTGTTAGCACCAAGACTCAGGATGGAGATGGAGACAGAAACCAGGGGTGCAAAGGCCCTGGGATCTACTGGAACTGCAGGAGACATTGTGGATAGGAGGGGCAATTTGCTGAATCTGGGGGTGGGTGGCAGACAGGTGGTGGCAGGGCTAGGGGCAGCAAGTTGGGGGGTTCTGCTCTGTGGTGCAGGGCTGCTGGGGGTCTGCTCTGTGGTGCAGGGCTGGGGGGGTCTGCTGTGTGGTGCAGGGCTGCTGGGGGTCCGCTCTGTGGTGCAGGGCTGCTGGGGGTCCGCTCTGTGGTACAGGGCTGGGGGGTGGCGGTGGGTGGTGCAGGGCTGCTGGGGGTCCGCTCTGTGGTACAGGGCTGGGGGGTGGCAGTGGGTGGTGCAGGGCTGCTGGGGGTCCGCTCTGTGGTACAGGGCTGGGGGTGGCAGTGGGTGGTGCAGGGCTGCTGGGGGTCCGCTCTGTGGTGCAGGGCTGCTGGGGGTCCGCTCTGTGGTACAGGGCTGGGGGGTGGCGGTGGGTGGTGCAGGGCTGCTGGGGGTCCGCTCTGTGGTACAGGGCTGGGGGGTGGCGGTGGGTGGTGCAGGGCTGCTGGGGGTCCGCTCTGTGGTACAGGGCTGGGGGGTGGCGGTGGGTGGTGCAGGGCTGCTGGGGGTCCGCTCTGTGGTGCAGGGCTGGGGGGTGGCGGTGGGTGGTGCAGGGCTGCTGGGGGTCCGCTCTGTGGTGCAGGGCTGCTGGGGGTCCGCTCTGTGGTGCAGGGCTGCTGGGGGTCCGCTCTGTGGTACAGGGCTGGGGGGTGGCGGTGGGTGGTGCAGGGCTGCTGGGGGTCTGCTCTGTGGTGCAGGGCTGGGGGGGGTCTGCTGTGTGGTGCAGGGCTGCTGGGGGTCCGCTCTGTGGTGCAGGGCTGCTGGGGGTCCGCTCTGTGGTGCAGGGCTGGGGGGTGGCGGTGGGTGGTGCAGGGCTGCTGGGGGTCCGCTCTGTGGTACAGGGCTGGGGGGGTGGCGGTGGGTGGTGCAGGGCTGCTGGGGGTCCGCTCTGTGGTACAGGGCTGGGGGGGTGGCGGTGGGTGGTGCAGGGCTGCTGGGGGTCCGCTCTGTGGTACAGGGCTGGGGGGGTGGCGGTGGGTGGTGCAGGGCTGCTGGGGGTCTGCTCTGTGGTGCAGGGCTGGGGGGGGGTCCGCTCTGTGGTGCAGGGCTGCTGGGGGTCCGCTCTGTGGTGCAGGGCTGCTGGGGGTCCGCTCTGTGGTACAGGGCTGGGGGGTGGCGGTGGGTGGTGCAGGGCTGCTGGGGGTCCGCTCTGTGGTGCAGGGCTGGGGGGGGTCCGCTCTGTGGTGCAGGGCTGGGGGGTGGCGGTGGGTGGTGCAGGGCTGCTGGGGGTCCGCTCTGTGGTGCAGGGCTGCTGGGGGTCTGCTCTGTGGTACAGGGCTGGGGGGGTGGCGGTGGGTGGTGCAGGGCTGCTGGGGGTCTGCTCTGTGGTACAGGGCTGGGGGGTGGCGGTGGGTGGTGCAGGGCTGCTGGGGGTCCGCTCTGTGGTACAGGGCTGGGGGGTGGCGGTGGGTGGTGCAGGGCTGCTGGGGGTCCGCTCTGTGGTACAGGGCTGGGGGGTGGCGGTGGGTGGTGCAGGGCTGCTGGGGGTCCGCTCTGTGGTGCAGGGCTGCTGGGGGTCCGCTCTGTGGTGCAGGGCTGCTGGGGGTCCGCTCTGTGGTGCAGGGCTGCTGGGGGTCCGCTCTGTGGTGCAGGGCTGCTGGGGGTCCGCTCTGTGGTGCAGGGCTGCTGGGGGTCCGCTCTGTGGTGCAGGGCTGGGGGGTGGCGGTGGGTGGTGCAGGGCTGCTGAGGGCCTGCTCTGACAGCTTGGTGCCACCTGTTGTCTCCACAGTGTTGGAGGGCTCATCCTGAGCATGACCGCATCGAAGCAGCAGTACAAAGGCATGGCCATATTTACGCCTGTCATGTGTGGTGAGTGTTTCAAGGCTCCCTATGGCCCGTGGATGGGAGATCCCCATGGATGGTTGGGCCTGAACACCAGTCCCAGGTTGGACCCAGGCTCTTGAAGGCCGCTGAGCAGCCAAGTTGTGAACAGGTGGCGGCCTGGGCTGTGGGGTAGGTTTTCCTAAGATGAAAGGAGACCTGGGAACAAAGCTAGCTCCGCCCTCACAGGAACTGCCAGGACCTGAGCTTTGCCCACAGCTGAGCACAGAGTCCACTCTGGCTTCCCATGTGCACTCTGATGTGGCCCTCAGAGATGGGTGCCAGGCCCTGCTGGTTTGTTTTCTGTGAGAGTCATTGGTGACAGTAATACTCAGACATTTACACCTAAAAATCTGAGTTCTGTCTTCTTAAAAACTAAGACTGAAAGCTGGGCGCCTGGCTCACACCTGTAATCCTAGCTACTCAGGAGGCTGAGATCTGAGGATCGAGGTTCAAAGCCAGCCAGGGTAGAAAAGTCCATGAGACTTTTTTTTTTTTTTTTTAGTGGGGGGTGGGATCCGGTCGCGGGGCCTGAGCGCTGTCTCTCAGCTCTTCAGCTCAAGGCTAGCACTCTACCACTTGAGCCGCAGCTCTACTTCCAGCTTTTTTCTTTTTGCTTATGGGGTGCTGAGGAATCGAACCCAGGGCCTCAGACATGTAAGGCAAGCGCTCTACCACTGAGCCACCTTCCCAGCCTCAAGTCCATGAGACTTATCTCCAATAAACCACCAGAAAACTGAAGTGATGCTGTAGTTCAAGTGGTAGAGCTCTCACCTTGAGCTGAGCTGAGGGACAGTGCTCGGGACCAGAGTTCAAGCCCCACGACCCACAAAAACAAAACAAAACAACAAACAAAGACTGAGATAGCAGTGGGTTTCCCTAGCAGCCACGGCTGGGGCTGGCCTGGTCACTTCTCCTGGGGCTGGACTGGTCATTGTCCCCCTGTTTATGCCTCCTGTCCAACTGGAATAACAGGTCTGCACCATCAGATCCCTGACCTATTGGTTGAGATAGAGTTTTGTGAACTTTTTGCCCAGGCTGGTTTGAACCACAATCCTCCCAATCTTTGATCCCCAGGTAACTAGGATTTGCTGGAGCTAGTCACTGTGCCCAGGCTTCAAGCCTTTGTTAAACCATCCACTCTCCATTCCTCTTCCCTCAGACTCACTCCTTCCCTAGGTCTGATCACCACCAGCCACCAGCACATACTTTCTGAGAACCTGCTTTGCCTGTCCCACTTCCCTCCCTTAAAGGACCAGCTGGCCAGACAGGACCTCATTCTAGGTCTGCGCCACACTACCTGGGAGTCATGCAAGATTGAGGGAGAGAGAAGTAAAGCACACCACATCCTGAATCAGTCAAAGAAGACTTCCTGGAGGAAGTGACCTTGAAAGAGGAGATAGAACCCCGGAGCCTGGGATAGAGGAGGGAAACTCTATTGTTTTTTCCTTGCAGGAGTTGGTGGCAACCTGGTGGCCATCCAGACCAGCCGGGTCTCCACCTTTCTACACATTTGGAGCACCCCTGGTGTTCTCCCTCTCCAGATGAAAAAGTTCTGTCCGAACCCCTGCTCTACTTTCTGTACCTCAGGTGGGTCTCATGTCTTCTGGAGGCCACAGGGCCATTTCTGTTAGCAGATGAGAATCTGATGTTTGAGACCAATGCTGACCTCAGCATGGGGCACCTTCAGGGTCCCAGCCCCTCCTCTGAACAGCTGACTAACAGCCTTGCCTTCCTTCCTTCCTTCCTTCCTTCCTTCCTTCCTTCCTCCCTCCCTCCCTTCCTTCTTTCTGTCCATCCATTATCCATCCACTTATCCATCATTCATCGTTTATCCATCCACTCATTCGTGCATTTATTTCATTCATGGACACAAATACATACTGAATGTCTGTCAGGCACTAGGCGGTCAGGTTGTGGGTTACAGTGGGAAACATAAGCCCACCTCTTCCCTCACAGGTAGATGTGCAGGAGAGAGAACCACAAAAGAAACAAGCCCATGATTATAAACTGACGTTTTCTAGGGCAGCAGCAAAGGTGCAGTGAGAGAGAATGGGAGGAGCCGGGCACTGGTGGCTCACACCTGTCATGCTGGCTACTCATGAGGCTGAGACCTGAGGCTCTTGGTTCAAAGCCAGACCGGGCAGGCAAGTCCATGAGACTCTTATCTCCAATTAAGCATCAGAGAACCAGAAGTAGCCCTGTGGCTCAAGTGGTAGAGCACTAGCCTTGAGCTTAAAGAGCTGAGGGACAGCGCCCAGGCCCAGAGTTCAAGCCCCATGACAAGCATGAGAGATGTGGCCATAGGGTTGGAAGTGCTTCTCTGATGAGCAGAGGGGCACTGGGCAAAGGGCCCTGCCTGGGTGAAGTTCTCAGAACCACTGCAGTCATCGGAGGGGCTTTAACAAAGATGTCTTTTGTCGTGTTTTCTCCCCTTGGGTCATCTCCTCTTGGTTTAAAAAACTGCTGTTAATCATCACTTAGGGTAGGTGTGCTGGCACATTCCTGAGGGTGTTTTCACTGGTGCACTACTATGGGTTTACTGTTGTTTTTGACCCCTGAAAACTGGGCCACTCCCACCCCCTGCCAGGCCGTGTTCCCTGTGCAAACTCAGAGGTCCCGTCTTGCTATCTCACAACTTTGTAGAAGCTGGATGATAATGTGGATTTTTTAGGGTGTGTTTTGGGTTTGTTAGGCTCCTTGGATCTGTAGATTTATCTTTTCCAGATATGATTTCAAGTTTACTGATTTATTTATTTTGTGCTAGTCCTGGGCTGGCTGTTGTTCCTGAAGTGTTGTTGTTTTTTTCTCTCTCTCTCAAGGCTAGCATTCTACTACTTGAACCATTGCTCCACTTCCAGCCTTTTGGTGGTTAATTGGAGATAAGAGTCTGGACTGTCCTGCCCAGACCGGCTTTGGACCGTGATTCTCAGATCTCAGCCTCCTGAGTAGCTAGGATTGCAGGTGTGAGCCACTGGTGCCTGACCCCTTTATTTTTGTTTTGTCCTCTCCATCCTGCCATTCAGTCAGCTGATTGAGTTATTGGGAAGTTCTGGATATTGTAATTCTCCCTTGGTTCTGCTTGGAATCTTCTGGTTCTTTTGTTACCTGCTGCTTGGTTTTAAGTTCATTTCCAGTGTTTCTGTGGTAACTGCTCATGCTTCAGGGAACAAGCTCATCATGGTCCTTAAAGTTGTTTTAGGACAGTCTGACATGCATCCTCTCCGTTCGGATCTGCAGTTATTTTTCTAAAGTGGGGCTCCTCTTGCTGTTGGTGTGGGAAGTTGTTTTAGGCTGGATCTGGAACTGTGGTGTTGTGTAACAAGGTTCCAGGTCTTATTAAATCTCTCTCTGGCCCTACACCACAAGAGGAGGAGCACCCAGTTCTCTCAGCCAGGTGGGTGGACGTGCAAAGGGACCCTTGTTCCCAAGGGCGTCCCTCATGGAGTGCAGCTCCTCACGACAGCACCCTGGTGGGGGTGGGGCACTGCCAGGCTGCCCCCATGGTCTCAGTGGTCCCCAGTGCCACGGTGTAGGGGAGCCCTCTGTGCCCCACAGAGGCAGCACTGACCCCAGCGAGGGGAGGTGTCACGGCCGCCTTGCACCTGTGCTATCTCTGATTGGCTCGGCTCCTTTCTTAGATTTCTGGATAAAGCAGACCTGCACTGAGGCTGTCACCCGTCTTTGTATTATGGGTTGCAGACAGTCTGAGATACCCAAGGCAAAACAACCTAAGCCACCCAGGGAGCTCACCACAGTGCTGCTTGTTGGGTTTCAAAGCCTCACCCCAATTGTCTTTCTCTCCACCTCAGGCCTGCCCCCTGCAAGGTGGAGCCTGCTGCCAGGCAGGCCACATGTACTCTTGGTTCTGTTTCCTCCAGAAACCAATTCCATGTCCGCCCGAGTCCTGCTCTTCCTGGTGGTCCCTGGTCATCTGATTTTCTTCTACATCATCTACCTGGTAGAAGGCCATTCATTGATAAACAGCAAGACCTTTGTGGCGCTGTACCTGCTGGCAGGCCTGGTCCAGGTGAGGCCCTTTGTGGTGCTGTACCTGCTGGCGGGCCTGGGCCAGGTGGGGATGGCTGGGCTGGAGAAGTGGCTTCCCAGCGGGCAGGCTCACTCCCTGTCCCAGTGGAGCTTCTGAGCAGGGTGGAGTGGAGTAGAGGTTCCTGGACATGTAGTACACAGTCCCCATCTTCCAAGAGTCAATGCAGTTTATTCAACTTGTTCAAGCCTGAAAGCAAGGTCCAGACATAGAGACCACTGCACCCCTCAAACTAGGAGCTGTACACTGCACCTCCACACTGCACCTCACACTGCACCCCTCACACGGCACCCCTCACACTGCACCTCCACACTGCACCTCCACACTGCACCCCTCACACTGCGCCTCACACTGCACCCCTCACACTGCACCTCACACTACACCTCACACTGCACCCCACACTGCGCCCCTCACACTGCACCTCTCACTGCGCCTCACACTGCGCCTCACACTGCACCACACACTGCAGCCCTCACACTGCAGCCCTCACACTGCAGCCCTCACACTGCGCCTCACACTGCGCCTCACACTGCGCCCCTCACACGGCACCTCACACTGCGCCTCACACTGTGCCTCACACTGCACCTCACACTGCACCTCACACCGCACCCCTCACACTGCACCTCACACTGCACCTCACACTGCACCCCTCACACGGCACCTCACACTGCGCCTCACACTGCGCCTCACACCGCACCTCACACCGCGCCTCACACCGTGCCTCACACTGCGCCTCACACTGCACCCCTCACACTGCACCTCACACTGCACCCCTCACACTGCACCTCACACTGCACCCCTCACACTGCACCTCACACTGCACCCCTCACACTGCACCTCACACTGCGCCTCACACTTCACCACACACACTGCATCCCTCACACTGTCTCACACTGCACCCCTCACACGGCACCTCACACTGCACCTCACACTGCATCCCTCACACCGCCTCACACTGCACCTCACACTGCACCCCTCACACTGCGCCTCACACTGCACCTCACACTGCACACCTCACACTGCACCCCTCACACTGCACCTCACACTGCACCTCACACTGCACACTGCACCCCTCACACTGCGCCTCACACTGCACACCTCACACTGCACCCCTCACACTGCACCTCACACTGCACCCCTCACTGTACCCCTCACACTGCACCCCTCACTGTACCCCTCACACTGCACCACACTGCACCCCTCACACTGCACCCCTCACACTACACCTCACACTGCACCTCACACTGCGGCCCTCACACTGCACCCTTCACACTACACCTCACACTGCACTCCTCACTGTACCCCTCTCACTGGGAACTGTGCACTGCACATGAACTCTACACACTCATATTCACATTGCACACTGGGAGCTGCACACTGCATGTGATCACCTCATACATCACCCACCTATCTTTCACACTGCATACTTTATATCCACACTGCATGCGATCACTGTACACCACACACTGTACATGTCACTACTCACTGCATACATCACACTACTCAGTGCACTCTGTGCTGCACACTTAGCAGCCTGAGATCATCTCTAGGGTGAAGGAGGTTGAGGCAGAGCCTGCCTGGGCGCAGTTCAGCAGGCCTGAGCAGTGAGTCAGTTCTGGGTCATGACTGTTCTGTGTTGCTCATGGCTGATAGAGCAGGGGTCTGCCTCACTTAGTTCTGGCCCTAGGCTGGGCTTGACATCTATCTTGGCTCCTTCCCATGAACACCAGCTGGTGTTTCTTGGCTGTTTGCAGACTCTAACTTGGTTTTGATGTGTGCTTGCTGTTCTGACAGGTGACTATCCTGCTGTACCTGGCAGAGGTGATGGTTCGGCTGGCCTGGCACCAGGCCCTGGACCCTGACAACCACTGCATCCCCTACCTCACGGGACTGGGGGACCTGCTGGGCACTGGCCTTCTGGCTCTCTGCTTCTTTCTGGACTGGCTACTGAGAAGCGAAGTAGAGCTGAGTGGCCTCTCAGAACTGGCCTCTGGGCCACCCTGATGAGGCTGGTCACCTCCATGTGCGCAGTGGCCATTTCCCTTACACCAATGGGGCCAGCGGCCTGGTCTCCCCTGCGGGATGGGCCTGGCCCTGCAGTGGCCTCTGGTCAGCCGTGAAGGAGGCTCGCTCGCTCGCTTGCACGGTGGCACTGCAGCTCTAGCTGAGCTGAGGTAGAACCCTGGGCCAGGAGCCTGGCCCACAAGGCTGGTGTGAGGGCCACGTGTGTGCAGCGCAGGCAGGTCTGGCTGGAGGCGCAGCCTGTGCTCTGGGGTGTTTATTCTGGCATGCACCACGCTGGGGTAGGACAAGAGGAGGGAGCACCCTGGCGCTGCCCTGCACCCCACTGACCCCACAGCAGTGTCCCTGTGAGCGCGGCTCCTCCCGCGGCTCCCAGCATTCCGCTTGGCCTCTGCTTGCTTTTGTTTTCCTTTTTCTTTCTTCTTTGTTGTTTTTTAAAAAAGTAAAACCTCTGCTTAGAGTTCCATTTCCAGAGAAGTATAAAATAAAATATAGGTGATATTGTATGTGACTCCTCAGATCCTTTAAAGGTAGTTAATGTGACCTCCAGACTTGGAGTCTCTGAGAAAAGTCTTTGGCAGCGTGTGTGGAGGTGTACTCCATTATTCCAGTTCTCAGGAGGCTGAGGCTGGAGAATTGTGGGTTTGAGGCCAGCTAAGACAACACAGCAAATAAATAAGAAAGAGAAGAATAAATAGCGTCTGGCTCTCCTTTAGAGTAGTGTCCTCTCAGGTCCCCAGCCTAGGTGCACTCAAGCCCCCAGGGGTCTTGTTAGGGCCCATGGGTGGCTCTCAGAGGGGAATCTCTACCTGACACACAGTATTGACATGTTTATGAAGTACAGCATGCTGTTTGAATGCATGTCATGCTCCTTCTTTGCTTCCTGTTTCTTATTAACACAGCTAACAACGTTAGCTGAGTAACTTCCTCTGAGAGGATGGCACCGTGTGGCAGTGTCCTTGGGGGGGGTCCAAGTGTGCTGGAGCCCCTGGGCAGGCCTAGGGTACCACTCCACCTGGACAACAGTTGGTATTGGGGTTGCCACCAGCAAATGCAGCCACTCTGCCTGGGCCTGTCCAAAGCAGCCACAACTCTAGCCTTTGCCCATTGGCACTTTCTGCCAGCGTCTTGCTTGGGCCAAACCTCCTCCACACAGAGCCAGTACAGTTGGGAGTGGCAAATGTCCAGTACAACTGTGCTGGACCCCAGGCTGGCTCCTGGATGCACTGGCTCTGCACTCTCCCTGCCTACAAGCTGTGCTGGGGAGTCAGCAGCCGCTGGCACACAGGACCACACGCTCTGTTGTGCTCAGACCTGCAGCAGACGAGCAATGGGGCTTCTCCCCGACAGTGAGAAGCACTAGGCCACGCGAGCCGTTTCCAGGGGCCTCTCCACAGCCTTAATCACAGTACTGCCCTGGTGTTTGGATGTGGAGCTTCACCTGTGGTTAGTGAGGGGTGGAGACCTGAGCAGTCTGGCTCACACTCAGTGGCCCATGAAGTGAAGGTGTGGCTGAGATCCAGGAGAGAATTTTCATCAGGAAATGGCACCGAAGCTGGCCCAAGGCTGAATGGGACGTAACCAGATTCACTTTTCTGGGCCGAGGGAGAGGGAGTGACTCAGATGGTCCTGGTTATCAGTCAGGCCAGAGTGGACACAGCCCCTCCGGAGAACTACCTTCCCTTCCTCCTTGACCAGCCGCCGCCCAGAGGCGAGGAGCCTGGAGGCTCTGGGGTCTTCTCCCTGGGAAGTCCCACCCCTTTCATATGCCGTCAGCCCACTCTGGCTGGAAATGTGACTCCCCGGTGGGAGCGTCGCCACCCATGACCACCTGGGAGCAGCCCTGACCTCCTTCCGCCTTTGGAGGCTCTCACGCTGGGTACGGCCTGGCGGCAGCACAGTAGACCATGGTCTACTGCGTAACTTGGGACTTTTGCCTGGGTAGAGTGGGCTGAGCTGCTCATGGTGGAAGGTAAGCCTTGGAGGGAGAGTGGCCACAGCTAAGTGTCCTGGACAATGTGGCTGTGGACAGCTGAGGTCCAGGGCTGCAGAGAGCAGCTATCTCCTACCACATAGTCCTTCAGGGCACCAGTGCAGGCCTGGGAGCCCAGCAATGTCTGGGCTTTCCCTCTTTCCATGTGAACCAGAGGGGCTGCAGCGGATGTGGCATGAGCTCAGGTGAGCTGCTCCTGTGGCGGGGGGAGCAGGAAGCAGGCTGTGGGCTTGAACTTGGTGTTCCAGAGCCTCCAGATGGGAGGGGCGTGGGAGCCTGCGGGGCTGAGCAGTCTCCTGAGACGTGTGAGCACCCCCTCGCAGAGGCCCCTACTGTCCTTCTGCCATCCCTTTCCTCGTCTACTCTTCATTCCCTCTGCCCTTCATTCCTCCCTCCTTCCCCCCCCCCCCTGCCAGTCCCCCCTTCCCGCCCTCCTGCACCTTCACTCAGCCCCACGTGCCCAGCCGTCTTCATCTCCACCACTGTGGTGGAATGCGTTCAGTTGTCCTGGGGCCTTCAGGCGGAAGGGTGATGGTGCTTCACATACTGACGAGGGACGCCTTCCTGCCACCTTGTGCTGGAAAGGGTCTCGAGCTACGGCTGGAGCACTGAGGCAACTCATGTGGAAACTTGAAAAATACAAATCTATGATTTCCCTATTGTTCCAGGAAAGACCTATGATGTTGGCAGCTGCCTTCCCGAGGGCGCCGGCCATCACCGGCTCTCCCTCTGGGTGGCCAGGGTGGCTCATGGCTCATGCATGGGGCACGGGGTAGGCGGCAGACGCTCGGCCCTCAGCCCTCTCCCTGCACAGGCTGGGTGACAGCAGCCATGCTTGCCAAGCTCCACAACTTCAATCAGCAGCAGCCCTGCTGGACACTTCTCCGCTTGCCGAGGGAGGGCCTACTGTCCCAGCCTCCCCACCCTGCGGGGCTTCTCGGAGCCTGTTCCTGGCCCCTGCCACCACCTGCGATGCAGCCCAGCTTAGTGCAGGGCAGCGCTGGGGGCGGAGCTCCGGGTGGCTGCAGGGCTGGCGGGATCCTGACCTGGGACGCACGGGTCCCGCCTGGCCCTGGCATGAGTGCATTGGGAGCGATGCTGCCATTTCAGAAAGAGCAACCCTGAAACCGACAGCTGTGCTTCCTGGAACTACCGCTGATTACAGGTTGACCCGACCCTTGTACAGAGAGGGTGAAGAGAAGCCGACATACTTAATATGTTACCACTTTACTTCAACTATTTGTCAACAGTAACACTGGTATTTTTGCAAATGTACAATACAGAGCACAGGCTCGTGGCTGGTGCTGACGGCATGCACAAGGCCTCCCGTCTGCGAGGGACACACCAGGCGGACTGCGTGCACCCACGCCGCCGCCCGCTCTCAGCGGGTGCCAGAGAGGACTGGAGCGAGGGTGGGTGGGACAACGCCTCCAGCCGCTGGGCTTGCGCTCTGTGCTAACAAAGTGCTGAGCTTGCAGATCTGCTGGTTCGTGACCTCGATGGCATGAGAGGAAGGAGGGAAGCTGGCGACCCCAGCCGGGGGACAAGGCCAGAGCGGGCTTCGGGGTCAGGCGGCGGCGGCGGCGGCGGCCTTTCTGAAGGAGCGGCCCCCGCCTGGGCAGGGCTGTGGGTAGTCCTCGGGTCCCAGGCTTAGGAGCACGGCACGGGAGGCTGCAGTGGCTGGAAAGGCTGAAACTGCAAAGTACGGCCATGGGTGACTGGAGCGGACGCGGGCAGCGGGCAGCCCCGGGGAGCGCATGGCGTCACACACAGAAGCGACAAGACACGCAGGGGCATGGGGCCCGGCAGCTCGGGGGCCGTGAGGGGTGGCGGAGGCTCCGCCTGGCCAGGGTCGCCAGGGTGGCCGCGGTGATGACGGGGTCGCGAGCACACGGCTGCCACTCAGCGCACAACACGGGGGACACACAGCCCTGGGCTGGCCAGCGTGCACACCACCCTGCAGGGGCAGAGCCCCCGCGGGACACTCGGCTCCTGCCTGTGTGGCTGGGGACGGGATGACAGGGTTATGGGGTCGAGGATGAGAGCCCTCAGAGGGCTGGGGCTTGGTTCTCCATGTGCATAGAAGAGGAATGTGGAACATGGAATTCACAGTTGTGTCTAAGGATCTGTGGGACCAATGTCCCAAGTGGCGATGGCAGAGGTGACCGACCCAGCTGTTCACCTGCAGTTACAACACCGGTCACCTAGCATCACACTGTTAATAAGGATTCACACGAAGCGGTGTGGCGTCTTTAGACCTGCAGGGGGCGCTACGTTCCTTGGCACGGTAATGGTTGGTCGTGCGGGGTTCAGCTGGCCCTGGAGGGGCGCTGCTTCTATGGAGATATGGACGACCTGAACTTGTTCTAGCAGGGGAGTGTGGTCTCCTTTCTCACCCTCGTCTACGTCTGTCTTCCTGGGAGAGGTGGAGGTCTATGTGGCTAACGGGACTGAATGCACGTCTCTCACACACAAACACTACCTATACAGTATAGATATTTATATATTTATATATTTATATATTTATATTATATAAAGTTTACTTACGTATTTTCATCAACCATATCAGGTCTACTTAATTTTTTTGCCCATTGTCAAGAACAGAGCAATAATGCAGCAAGTTTTGGGGTAAGTTCTGTGTTGTCTGCTTTTTTAGATCTCATGTCTTCTCTCTCTAAGTTGGGGGTCAGATGTGTGTCGGGAGCGGGCAGAGCGCTGGGGGGCAGGCCTGTGTCTACTGGGGCTGCGTCGAGACCCCTCCTGCGGGGTGAAGGGACGCGCCCGCGGCCGGCGCCAAGGCTAGGTCCAGTGAGGAGCTCCGCTCCACAGAAGGCGAGCGGGGGGCTCGAGGCCCCTCAGGCCGAGGGGAATGTGGAGCAGCGGTGTGGCGCCCTGGCCGGTCTGCGGCCCTCGGCTGGGAAGGCTCGGGCGGCGGCACCCAGGCCGCCTACACGATTGTGCTGATGCCGCTGGGTTTGGCCTTGCTGCTGGTGGGGGGGGGCGGGGCGGGGGGCTGCCCATGGTGGTGCGCGGGGTGCCCCCCGTGGCCGGCGTGGGTGGGGGGCAGCGGGGGGTGGCCGTGGGCGTGGGCCCCGTAGTGGCCGCCGTGGGGCCCGTGGTGATGCTGGTGGGCGTGCTGCAGGTGGGAGGGCGGGTGGTAGTGGTGGTGGTGGTGGTAGGGGGGTGGATTCTGCATGTGGCAGTACTGGGCGTGGTGCCCGTGTGCCGGGGCCTGAGGCAGGCCCTCTGTGGGCCCGGGGAGGTGGCCGGCTGAGTGTGCGGGGTGGGGGGGTGGCGGGGGGCCCTGCGGAGGGGGCTTCCCTCTCCTACTCCCGAACAGGGAGCCCAGGAGGGAGGACGAGTTGGGCATGGCCTGGGGGGGGCGAGATGGACACTCTCGTGTTGATGTTGCTCTCCGGCGCATGTGAGGACTGCTAATGATGGACCCCTAAAAAGGAAATTCATAGAAATCAAAATTAAAAGATCTCAGAGCGCATGTCAGAACCGTCTTTTTCCATGTTGAAGTCTCCCACTGTGCTAAGCCCTCCGTCCACTGCCTGGCCGGAGGGGGCAGGCGCGGGGCCGGCCTCCTGACTGTGGAGGAGCCAGGCTCTGGGGCCTGTGGTCTCGGGACACAGTGGGGTGGGGTGTCTGTGCGCTAGGAGGGCGATGCGTGATAGGTGTAAAGCTGAACCCTAAGCTCTCAGGCCCTTCTCAACTGGTTCAGAGCTTTGGCCCTGCCCCGGCGGGGGTCCACAGGAGGAGGCGACAGGACCCTGTGGCCTTGGAGCCCGTCCTGGGCCAGGCCCAGCTCCCTACTGCGAACCAGGCAAGAGGGGGAATCGGAGGAAGATCTGCCGGCCGAGGCGGCGGCGTGGACGGCGCTGGAGAGATGGAGGATGAATGAAATCTCATGAAACCCGCCCTGACTTCCTCTGGCACGCTCCTCCCGCACCCTAGCTGGGCAATTCCATGGTGTCCTGACCGCAGACACAGCCAGCGAACTCGGGAGGAAGCCATGGGACGGCAGAGCGCGGGGAAGCCGAGGGAGCAGCACGTCCGGCAGTGAGGGTGAGCGAGGGGCAGGCCCGGAACGGGGGGGGGGGGGGGGGGGGGGGGGCGGAAAGCCAGGGCGGTTAACCATGCTCGGGGCCGGGGGCTAGGCTCGGTGGAAATGAACGCACAATCCAGAGCAGCCCCGCCGCTGGGCAGGGGTGAAGCGGTGAGAGGCACGGATGCTTCTAGAGGAGAAGCCGCATGCATGGGCAGCAGGCAGGGCGGGAGGGCCGAGGCTGTGTCTCTGGGGAAGGGGAAGGAAGAGCAACACAATAGAAAACAAAAAGGCCACAGATATAACCAGGGACGGCACAGGACAGCCAGCGACGAGGGCCTCCTACTTACTTCCACATTGCTCTCTAGCGATCCCGCACTGCTCCGACGCCCTCGCTTCCCTGCCCAGAACATGCAATACCAGAGGTTAGACACGCACGCCGCCGCCGCTGCCTCCGGCCTGCCTGCCGCCCTAGCCGCCTGCCCGCCGGTGCCAGGCGGGGGCGGGGCTGGGGGAGCTGGCAGCGGGGCCGTAGGGAGCAGGCTCTGGGTGGAGGGGAAAAAAATGTCTCAACCCAGCCCCGACCTCCTCCTCCTCCTCACGGTGCTCTGCAGAGGGGCCTGGGGGCTGAGGTCTGCGCACGGGCCCCGCCACCCCACTCCTGTCTGCTCTCCCCCGACGCGGGGCAGGGTGCGGCAGGCTGGGCTGGGGCAGTTTTTGCAGGAGCACAAACACCCACCACTGCTCCCAGGCCTTGCGCCACAGGAGCTCACACACACACACACGTGTGCACATACACACACGCGTGCACACACACACACATATATATATGTACGTGTCATGTCCACGCTCATGCTCATATATATATCCCCACTGCCTTTGGGAAACAGCAGGTAGTGGGCAGGAGAGGGGACTGGTGGCCCGTCTCCTGTCTCTGGGCTGAGTTTTAGTTTGTGCAGTGCCCTGGTTGGGAGCAGATCATCCTCCCAGAATGCTTTGCAGCATTCCATAAGCCCAGCCAGCTGGCTCTATCGCAGGAAGGCTCAAGACCCGAGGCCCACTCTGGCCTGCAGTCCCTGGCGAGGGCTTCTCCTCGGCTTTCTGCAGAGCTTCAGGCCCCAGGGCTGCTTCAGCCTGCAGCGTGGTTCCCTTCTGGATCCCACATGAGCGTCCGTCCATAAAGCACGCACACCCGGACAGCAGGGTGTAGCGTGACGCATAGCCAACTTGTTTGTGTCCTTTCTAGGCTGGACAGCCCAGACGGAAAAGAGGCTGCTGTGTGTTCACTGGCCCGGGGCTGCACCTTCAAGACAGGCCAGGCGGTTGGAAATAGCGTCTGGTTCCTTGAGTCTTGCTAGAGCACACAGAGGACATTGAGTCCCTTCACCTGGTTGTCTGGCCCAAGCCCAGTTCCGGGTGGGAGTTGGTAATGGAAGGCCCCAGCACCGGGGCAGTGCAGGAGTGTCTACTGAAGCTGTGGACACCCAGGGAGGCCGGCCCTTGCTTGGGCGGGAGGGCCCCTTCCCTCGGCGCTGTGCGGGGCCCGGCTTGTCCGGTTCTGTTGCACCTCCCCGAGAGCAAGGGCTTGATCTCAGCGCAGGCCTCCTGTCTGCAGGAGCCATGTCCCCAGCTGTTTTCACTACTGTCGTTGTTGTTGTTTTGTATGTATGAGAGCGCATGCGTGCATGCTAGTAATGGGGCTTGATCTCAGGGCCTTAAGCTCTTGCTTAGCTTTTTCACTCAAGACTGGCACTCTACCACTTGAGTCATGGCTCCATTTCTAGCATTTTGCTGGTTAATAGGAGATAACAGTCTCTCCGATTTGTCTGCCTGGGCTAGCTCTGAATATCAATTCTCAGAGCTCCATTTCCTGAGTAGCTAGGATTGTCAGAGCCACCGGTGCCCGGCTCTAGCGGCTACTGAATGGACTCTCACATTCCTGCTTGGGTGGCCTGGACAGCAATCCTCCCATATGGCTAGGTGACACGCCACCATGTCCGCTTTTACCGAGGGGGGTGATTTTGTGAATGGCGGGCTAGCCTGGAGCCACAGCCCTCCGGATCCACCTTCCAGATGTGTGCCGCCACACCCGGCCTTGCGCAGTCTCAGTACCTTTACCTCACGGTGCTCCCCAGCTCCTTCCCAGCAGTTGGGGCTCTGGTGTGCTCCACGCGCCGGCGGCTGCTCAGGCTCGACTGGCTCCCAGCGTATACCACGGATGCTCCAGTTTCCCCTGCTCCGGTGAGTGCTCAAGATGGCACTGAGGGCTGGTGCCACTGGGACATGCCCAGAGTCTGCGGTGTCAGCAACACTGGCCTGGGGGCCTTCCAGGCTAAGGGGGACCCCGGCCACCATCCAGGCCGGGGCATGTAGCGGGCCTGATGCCCGTGTCCCTAACTGTGGCTGCCACGGTGTGGCCTGCAGCTGAGAGCCGCTCCCACTCACAGGCCGGGCCGGGGCCTGCAGCTTGCTCCCGTCCACTCCTCAGCCAGGTGCACTGCTCTGGTGCTTTCCACGTGTCCTGGGTGGCGTGCTCACAGGCCTCCCTGGGTCTGTCCTGGCCCGCGGGGTCAGCACACAGCCGTGGCACACGCTGTCTCTGCTCGGTGTGGACAGGGCTCAGGCTACTCACGATGACTCCCGCGTCCTCCGGTGCTGCCCGCTGTCCGGAGCCGTGGTGGCGCTCATCTAGAGCAGCTCAGCTGCGGAGGCCCCGGCTCGCCCGCCCTGTGCCTCCACCGCAGGCTCTCCTCCCCCCCTTGCCCGCAGCAGGCAGATGACGCCAGGCAGCTCTAAGCTTTTCCCATCTCCTTAGTGCAGCTGGGGAAACTGAGGCTCACGGTGTACCGTGGCCAGGTCCAACAGCTAAGAATGGCAGGCAGAGCGGCACGCAGTTCCTGTGGTCTGCGCATGGGCGGCAGGGGACCCTGGGGTTCCGGGGGAGTGTGCTCTCCCTGGGGACAAGGTGCCATCCGCTCAGGCCTCGGCAGTGCCCATCTCGGAGAGGAGCTGGGGCTGGGCCAGGCCTGACCGCCCGGGCGTGGTGTATCTGCAGAAGGGGCGGCTCCCGGGCCCTCAGACTGCGGCCACTGCCAGCGTCCCAGGTGTCTGCAGCCGGCTGTCTCCTGGGCAGGTGACACGGACCTCAGGCGGCTGTTCACAGGTCTGCAGTGGCAACAGGCCAGCCCCGGGCTGTCCCTTCTGAGAGCCACCTCAGGCTTGGCGTGTGACCGCCTTCAGCGGGGCAGGCCCAGGTGCCCGTGCACACTTTCCTCCTCTCCTGCCGCCCTGCTGGCATCTTCTGGGTAGGCTGCTGGCCTTCTCTGGTGGCCTGGGATCAGACATCACGCCCCTTCGCTCGTAGCTTTCGGAGGGCTCTGCTGCTTGTTTCTTATTGCAGGCCCAGAGAGCACTGCCCCGTGGAACTCTATGGGACCTCAGAGCCGGGTCCGGTGGGCACCTGCCCAAGGGCCTCAGGCACAGGCACTGCTACCGGAGGGACCTGTGGGTAGGGTGTGCTGGGGAGACGGGGCCTGCCACACTGCACAAACTCAAACAGTCCCTGGCCCACAGCCTGCAGAGGCCCTGGCAGCTGGTGACGTGTGGCTGGGCTGAACAGCCACTGGGAAACCAGTGGTTCTCAACCAGGGCCAAGGTGCTCACAGGAGTACCCAACATTGTTAGATGCGGGGACCAGACAGGCATCGTGGCCTGGGGGCGGGGGGCGGGGGGCAGAGGCCAGCACAGCTCCTGTGGAAAGGAATTGTGTGGCCCCGTGTCCAGGTTGAGAAGCTCTGGCTTGAACCTTCATGCTGGTGATGGATTTTACATTTTACTATGGAAAAAGATGACAAAAGCAAAGAAAAAAAAAAAACTACACAAGGAAACAAAAAGGAGTCTGAGGAATGAGCAAGCCACATGAGGCGGTGTTGCATGGGGCGGGATGGGGTGCGGCGAGGGGCAGGCTTTGCCGGGCCGGTCTCGGCCATGGGGTCCTCTAGACAAACCAGGGCCACACCAGCTGCAGGCGCACGCTTGCTGCTCCGGGAACCGCGCCACAGCGATGCCTCGTCCCCAACGCTGCCCTGACAGTGCTGCTGCTCCCAGAGGCTGCAGAGAGGCTCTAGAAGCTCCCTCGCTTCACATACCCTCGCTCCCGGGCACCCGGGAGGCCCAAGGGCTGCTGCTTGCTGGCATTAAGTGGCTGGCAGCAACTTAAGACACACGGACAAGGGGACAGCACCACAGCCACAGTGCCACTGGCTACCCGGCACCCTAGAACCAGCCACACTCACGGGGGCCACAGCCTGAGCACTGGATAGAGGCCTGGGGTTCCCAGGAAAGAGGTCCTGTAGGGAAGCAAGACCAGGACAGGGGGTCCCCAGGGCCAGGACAGCAGGACGGGGGTCCCCAGGCAACTCTGAGGGCTTCAGCAATTTCATTCATCAGCAAAAAAACACCAGGACGCAGCGGCACAGAGAACATGGATGGGCCGACCAGGCTTAGAGTGGTGTGCACAGGTCAGTAAAGCGGTAAATAAACCCTTGGAAGAGAAAGGAACGTGGGCCTTCCCGGCTGCGTCACGCCGCCCGTACCCCGAGACCAGGCCTCTGCCTACCTTCCTGGGTTGCCCTGTCTGTGGGGGAAAGCTGGAGCTGGCGCGCCTGCGTGCGTGGGCCGGCGGCTCTTACCTGCGTCCGAGAGGTCGCGCAGGGAGCTGCTGAGGGCGCTGCGCTTGAGGCCCTCGCCGCTGGCGTAGCTGTCGTCCAGGCAGGCCCGGCTCAGCGTCCCGGCGCCCGGCTCCTTCTTCAGACTGGAGCACTGGGACATGCTGGGCCGGACGACGCCCTTCTGCTTTTCCAGCTCCGCTGCAACGGGGGAGGGGGAGGAGGTGAGGCCACAGGCTGGGGCAGCTCCGCCCGCTGCCGGGAGAGGGGCTTGGCGAGGGGCACATCGGACGCCCTGCTGCCTTTAGTCCACCACAAAGATGGCAGCACCTTCTCCTTGCTGGTAGACGGGCAGAGCCGGCCAAGCCGCTCCGACGGGGGAGGCTCTGCAGCCACTGTCCAGAGGGGCAGAGGGTGACCCCGGTGTGGCTGCAGTGAGGTAGGAGCCGAAGGGCCGTCCCGCCTGTGACCTGCTGACACCGGACCTGGCAGGAGCTCTGGGTAACATCATGAGAGGAGGCGCTCAGCCCGGGGCCAGGGTTTCCTAGGATGGTGGCGTGCTCCCAGAGAGGGAAGGATTGGGACCACAGGCCTAGAGGCTCGGGGCTGTCGCAGGACGGGGATGCGGAGAGCAGAGACAGACGCGAGACCCCAATTCTCTGTGCTCAGGCGGTCCCAGCATTGCTGCCTCCAGCCACAGTCACTGCCCAGGCCTCTATCCGGGGCTCCTCCCCTCCACACTCCGCCAGGACCCCCTCTATCCGGGGCTCCTCCCCTCCACACTCCGCCAGGACCCCCTCTATCCGGGGCTCCTCCCCTCCACACTCCGCCAGGACTCACCCTCTATCCGGTGTTTCTCCATCTCCTGCACTTCCGCCACCGACTCCCGGAGGTCATCAGTGAACTTCTTCCGGTCCTGAGGATTGGGTGCGTTGAAGTTTATCAACACCTTGACGTCTGCTCCGGGGACAGCGGACGTGAGGCGGATGCCGTGAGGGTAGTCTGCAGGTGGAGGAGCCGGAGGGCCTGGGTTCAGTGGGCTCTGCCGGAGCCCACCACGCCCAAAAATGAGCAAGATGTGTGCGCTGCCAGAGGCTGGGGGGGGGGGGGGTAGAATGGCCTCCTCCCACCCCACCATGGCCACACCGTGTCAGGACTGCACAGGGCCTGGCTGGCTCCCGGCCCTGAGGTGGTGGAAATGCCCCTGGCCATGCCAGATGCCAGCCCCACAGTGGGGCAGGTGGCTCTGGGATGGGGGTGGCAGCCTGTCCCCTTGGGCTGTCCTCCTGACGGGCTGTGTGGTGAGCCTCGGACCCAACCCCAGCGATGTGCAGCTCCAGCCCCTGCTGCCACGGGCGTGTTTTAGAGGCTCTGGGCTCTGGGCTCCAGTCTCCCCAGCGTGGCTCCTGGTTTAAGGTTCTCAGCGCTAACACCGTGCCCAGACCAGGCAGAGGGCGGAGCAGGCCTCGGGAATGGAGTGAGGACAGGCCACTGAGGAACAGAGGCCACAATATCTACATTTTGACATGAAGATGTAAATATCGACTCCACAAATCTCTGCGAATGTTCAGGGCACGAGCAGCACGCTCAGACTATGACTGAGCCCACGGCGCAGGCCCCCAGGCCCGAGGATGTAGGGCCGCAGGGCTCACGGCCCGCCCTGGCCAGGCTGCTCTAGGCGTGCCGGGAGGCGGGCAGCAAGGCCACCTTTGCACTGCGGGGAGGGGCAGAGCCCACGGAGGGCAGGAGGAGGCACAGGGATCCTCAGAGGTGAGCTTGCTGCGGTCCCGCCTCTGAATCCGCGGATGGAAGGCTGACAGATGGAAACCCAAGATGGAGAAGCACCCACCGCCTGAGACACAGACACCCTGTCAGCACCTTCGCCTCAGTCTCTACCAATCAGGAAGCTGCCTGGCCCCTACCCCAGGACAACGGGCTCCCAGCTCAGGAACCTCGGGTGGGACAAAAGCAGTTGGGAGAGCTGGGCGCTGGTGGCTCATGCTACTTAGAAAGCGGAGCTCTAAGGACTGTGGTTTGAAACCAGCCGGGCAGGAAGGTCTGTGAGCCTCTTAGCTCCAAAAGGCCAGAAGCAGAGCTGAGGCAGAGCAGCAGCCTTGAGCTCAGGGCTGCACCTGGCTCGGGGCTCAGTCTATAGCACTGACAAGGGACGGAAGTGAGGGAAAGTGGGAGGGGCTGGGGAAGGGCCGCTGACAGGAAGGCAGCTGTAGGAGGGAGCTGGCTTCCTGCAGTCCCAAGTCCCCTCAGCGGATACAACTCTCTGGGGGCTTGAGAACCAGCCTCCACCACATTCACGGTGCTATGAAGAGACGGACTGCACATTCATGTAGAGGGGTCCCCACCCCCCAACGTGGGGAGCAGTGATACACCCCAAGAAGAGGCTGGGGATCAGAAACAAGCCTTGCAGCAGGGATGGCCCTGAGCTGGAAGTCAGACCCCAGCAGCTGGGGCACAGCACACGGCGCCCAGAGCCTTCGCTGCCAGGCCTGCGGTACTTCCCGCCCTTCTCGGACATTTCTGCCTCCTGTCTGGGGCAGGGCATTCCCCAGGCTGTGCTGTGGGTCCTCTTGGCCCCCAGCCCTCACACACAGGTGGCCGGCAGGCACTGCTGCAGGCCAGGGCACTCACACTGGTTCTCGAAGAGCAGGACCTGCATACCACACAGAGAGAAGGATTGCCGGAAGCTGTACGTCACTGAGTTTTTCTTCTTCTGGAAGATCTTGGTGACCTTGGGGAACAGAGACACGGCTGAGGGCCGTGGAAGGGATGCCCTTCCACACCGCGCCGTGGTGTAAGTTCCTGCGATGCCAGCCTGGGTGGCACCACTGTCCCTGTGACACAGCCGAGATGGCTGCAGGGCAGTGCGCTTTGGAGCCCAGGGCCTGGCAGGAGGGCTGGGCGGCTCAGAGCGCAGTGGGAGGAGCCACTCCTGAGGCCGAAGGCTGGCTCACAGACAGAACTTCCAGCCTGGCTGTGCAGACTGGGTACAAGGCCAGGAGCCTCACTGCCCAGAGCTGCCACACACAAACGAGAGCCACACGTTGCCCAGATCTGCCACGTACAAGTAAGAGCCGCAGGTAAGGGTCCTGAGATTTAGCTCACAGGAGGAAGCTGAGGTCAGGGATTCATGGAAGATTCGAAGATGTCTATCTGGACCCCAGCCTTAGCAGTGGGGATGGAGGCCTTTAAGAGCGCCCAAGCCCGCCGCGGACATGAACCTAAAGGCGGGATGTGCTCTCAGCCATGGGGCGGACGGTGCCAGCCACCTTGGGCTGGCAACCCTGCGCCTTCTTCCTGTAAGAAGTTCTCCATTTCCTTCTGGAAACCTGGCTTCGGTTGCTTTGTTCCGTAGGTCCTGGTAGACAGGACCCTGCCCAGCTCCAAAGCCGAGCCAATCGGAAAGGCCCGTGCCTGTGTGATTGTGGGCACCTGCAGGCTGGGACCCATTCTGAGACATTCTGGAAGGAGGAGGGCATGCCACTGCTTCCCTGGCCACGCCTCCCTCTGCGATGGGAAGGTGCCTGGCAAGGAGCCCACCCAGGGTCAGCCCACCCAGCCCACACCCGGCCCCGGCTGAGTGCAGGCAAGGAGGAGCCTGGCTGCGGGTCGGCCCCTCTGTGCTCATCGGAGCCGGGGAGCATTCTCCCAGCCCTGCGTGTGCAGCAGCCTGTACGGGCCTCAGGTTCTCCTGGGAACCCCGCACCAGCCCCGGTGTGTGCATCCATGGCAGACAGCAGCACAGGACGCTGCGTCCCAAGCTGAGCCATCACCTACCACCAAGAGGTCGTTGAAGAGGAAGATTTCTCGCTGGTGCAGCCCAAGTTTCTGGGGTTTATTGGGGTCTGGAACCTCGAAGAGCCGGCAGTAGCAGACCAGCCGCCGATGGGGCAGGGACAGCACCTGGGAGAAGAAATGGGCCATGGGCGCCGGCCCTCACGGAGGGTGGAGAGGGCCCCGCACCTCACTGAGCCCGCACGCCGCTGCCGCTGGGCCTCCCAGCGGGTGGCAGCCGCAGCATGGTGCACAGGAGCGTGTCCTGAAGCTGTGCAGGGCCGAAGGAGACTTGGCTGGCACAGCCGTCCCCATGCGCCCCACAGGAGCCTCTGTGAAGGCCCATTGCCCAACTGTGCCACAGCCAAGCTGCCCGAAGCCAGGCCCAAGCCTGTGGAGCATGCTGCACATGCAGGACGCAGGCATGGAGCTACAGGGTGCATGCACTTGCGGGCAGGAAGCACGACCGGCCAAGCACCCTGACTGCGGCTGCCGAGCGCAGCGCCTCGGCGCCTGATGAGGAGAAGTGTGGCCCAGTCCAGCACACGTGGGGAACGAAGGGAGAGTGGGCAGGGGCGTGGTGGGCTGTGGGCAGCAAGGGTGAGTGGTGGAGGGAGGCTCCCCAGAGAGCGGGGAGGACCGTGCGTGCGCACACATCCGAGACTGGCAGGGGCTGTGGCGAACCCTGGTGGTGGTGGCAGGGAGCAGGGTGGTGGCGGTGAGGGGCAGGGCAGGGGCAGGTGGGCAGAGCAGAGCGAGCAGGGTGTGGAGGAGCGGGCAGAGGCCATGGGGAGGATTTTCTCCCAGGTCCGGCTCTGACCTGGCCTCACAGCCCTCCCCCCCTTCCCCCTCCCCCCGTCCACCCCAATGTAGCTACAGCCTCGGGACCCGCAGAGGTATGAGGGTGTGTTGGTGCGTCTGATCACCCTGAATGAACCTGCCCACCAACAAGGCAGAGGGACGCAGGGCATGCGGGGTCCTCAGGGTGGGCAATGGGCGAGTGGTGTGGCAAAGCAGAGAAAATACTCACACAGCCAAGTCCATGATGAAGAGACCCAATCTGCGGGGAGACAAAGAACCCACAAAGGTGTTACTACTCTAAGGCTGCATCCGGGCTCCAAGAAACCCAGGCAAAGGGCAGGGGCCCGTTCCCTCTTCTGGGGCGCCCAGAGCCCCGCCCACCAAGGGAGGCCTGGGTCACCAAGAAAGGCACCAGTGTCGAGCGGCCATTCCCTGAGAGCCCCATGCTCTAACACACGGCCCGGGGCAGACAGCCGCAGTTCCCCAACACCACGGGGCCAAGGCCATCCCCCAGCTCCCCTGGGGGAATCAGAGCTGTGAGCCGTGGCTGGCAGGGCGCTGCGGGGCCGCCCCGTCGGGCGGCCGGACGCGGCCGGGGACGCTGGGCCCAGCACGTACCGGCTTCTTGCCCACAATGAGCTTCTCCACCTTCTGCACCTGCGACACATGGTCCTCGTTGGTCTTCAGCTCCCGCTTCCGGATCCGCTCGTAGATCCCGATCAGCATCTCCCGGGGAATGTCCTCACCGTCATCCACGCCTGGCGGGGACAGTGGCAGGGATGAGTGGCCGGAGCGGCAGGCTCCGTCCAGCCCCAGGGCCCGGGCCCACTCTGGGTGCGCCGGTGCTTCCAGTCAATTCAACCCAGAACATGGCCCAGCCAGAGGGGACTGACACCCCGTCTGCAGCCCCGCCGTGCTCCAGCCAGACTGTGACGGGGCGAGCAGGCTCCCACCCACAGGGAGAAACGGAGGCTGGGTCTGGGGCTATGCCCTGAGGCCCAAGTTCAGGCTGGCAGCTGAGAACCGAGTCCCTCTGAGCTTGCTGCCCTTTGCCAGCAGGCCGTGATGCTGCAGGCTGACCACGGCACCGAGGCCACCTCCTGCCACAGTGGAAGGTGCTGAGCCTGCCCAGCAGGGAAGTCCCACTCACCTGCAGCCAGCCTGGCCCTCAGCCCCTCACAGGCCTGCGGGGGGGTGGGGGGAGTGGAGGGGGCCTCTCCAGGCCACGGGTGGGGGGCTGAGGCGCTGCTGCTTCCCAGGCCTGTCAGAAGGGCCTGATGCCCTCTGGCTAAAGGACCTTTGTGGTATACCAGCTGCTGAAAATGAGACACACGCCAGGCTGGTGATGCACAAATGGCTGCCGACCAGGTGACTGGGCCACACCCCATGCCGGGACCTTAGACTTCCTACTGCGCATGTGTCCCGGGTGCGGAGGGCTGTGGAGGAGCCGGGTGAGTAAGCCGGCTCGGGTAAGTAGGCCGCAGACAGATGGAGAAGGACAAGTGTGGTAGCAGCGCAGCGGACGGACCGGCAGGGGTGGAGGCTCCGCGGCGGAACCCTGACTTTTCTGTATTATTACATAGACTTATTTGCTTCTTTAGTTTTAGCTATATTTTTAAGTACAGGCTTCGAGCAGTCTAGGGAAGCGCTCTACCACTGGGCCATGTTCTCTGCTCCCATGCTTTAGACTGGCTGCAGGCTTACAGAAAACTCACAAGCAGGTTTTTCTCCACCCACAGGTGGGCTCCCCTGGGCGTGTCTGGCACGGGTGAGCGGTGATCCCAGCACCGACACGTCACCAGCGCCCCAGGCCCAGGTGGCTCTCATGGTCCGAGCCCAGGCCCAGGTGGCTCTTGTGGTCCAGGCCCAGGCCCAGGTGGCTCTCGTGGTCCGGGCCCAGGCGCAGGCAGCTCTTGTGGTCCGGGCCCAGGCCCAGGCGGCTCCCGTGGTCCGGGCCCAGGCCCAGGTGGCTCTTGTGGTCCGGGCCCAGGCGGCTCTCGTGGTCCAGGCCCAGGTGGCTCATGTGCCAGGCCCAGGTGGCTCATGTGGTCCGGGCCCAGGCCCAGGCGGCTCTCGTGGTCCAGGCCCAGGCCCAGTTGGCTCTCGTGGTCCGGGCCCAGGCCCAGGCGGCTCTCATGGTCCAGGCCCAGGCCCAGGTGGCTCATGTGCCAGGCCCAGGTGGCTCATGTGGTCCGGGCCCAGGCCCAGGTGGCTCTCGTGGTCCGGGCCCAGGCGCAGGCAGCTCTTGTGGTCCGGGCCCAGGCCCAGGCGGCTCCCGTGGTCCGGGCCCAGGCCCAGGTGGCTCTCGTGGTCCGGGCCCAGGCGCAGGCGGCTCTCGTGGTCCAGGCCCAGGCCCAGGTGGCTCATGTGCCAGGCCCAGGTGGCTCATGTGGTCTGGGCCCAGGCGCAGGTGGCTCACGTGGTGCCGGGCCCAGGCCCAGGCGGCTCACATGCCGGGCACCACATCATGCCACCAAGAAGAAGTCTCTTGCCTTCCCTTGAGCCCGGGCACAGTCCCCCCCATCCCCAGGTTCTGGCTTTCCTGGAGTGTGGTGGCTGGAGTTGGACAGTGTGCAGCCTTTTGAGACTGGTGAGGTGTCTGCTTAGACTCTTGGCCAAGCGTCTTTTACGGGTCATGGTTCCGCTTTTAGTGGTGAAAAATGACCCTCTGGGTGTCCTTACAACTGTGGAAGGACATCTTGGCTTCTTCTATGATTTGACAACTGTGGTAAAGTCGCTATAAACACTAGGCATCGGTTTTTGCATGGCCTGATTTCCAGTTCATGTGGGAAACACCAAGAAGTAACTAGCTGTGGGCGATGTGAAGGTAACACCACTTAAAAACTGCAGAGGGCGCCAGGCGCCGGTGGCTCATGGCTGTCATCCTAGCTACTCAGGAGGCTGAGATCTGAGGATCGCGGTTCAAAGCCAGCCCGGGCAGGAAACTCCTCTTATCTCCAATAGACCACTAGAAAACCGGAAGTGGCGCTGTGGCTCAAGTGGTAGAGCACTAGTCTTGTGCTGAAGAGCTGAGGGACAGCGCCCAGGCCCAGAGTTTAAGCCCCACAACCAACAAAAAACAAAAACCCAAAAATCTGCAGAGGGCTGGGAAGGTGGCCCAGTGTTAGAGTGCTTGCCTAGCATGCATGAAGCCCTGGGTTCGATTCCTCAGCACCACAAACACAGAAAAGGCCGGAAGTGGCACTGTAGCTCAAGTGGTAGAGTGCTAGCCTTGAATTAAAAAACTCAGGGACAGTGCCCAGGCCCTGAGTTCAAGCCCCAGGACCGGTACACGCACACACGCACGCACGTACGCACGCACACAAAGTGGTGACTGGTGGAAAGCCTGGGCTTGGGACAGAACCAGTGACTTCCCCATTGGACTGGGTGCTCAGGCCTGCCCTGCTGGCCAGGCTGGGGTGACAGATGCAAACCCCAACATCTCTGCCATGTGAGCGGCAGACTTCAAACACACAACCCAGCGGCCATCATGCCCTCAGCCCTCATTGGGGCTGGCCATTCTCTGCCTCCACCGATGTGGGGCAGTGTGAGACTCGGTGGCCACCAGAGTCAGTCCAGCCCCAGGAGCGAGGCTGAGGGCGGGAGCAGGCCAGGGCAGCCACGAGGCCGTCCTGGCCTTGGGCCTACGCACTGCTCCTGGCACCAGCACGGTCAAAGGTCTCCTGACCACCTGCATACTCTCCTGGCCAGAAGACTTCCTAGGGATGATACCGCTGACCTTTCTGGGGCCTGTGACGCCCCTCGGGGCTGTGTGTAGTAGCAGCACGTCCTCTGATAGGACCGTGGACCAAGCGAGGGCCTTGTCAAATCCTCCGGGAAACACTGGTCTGGTGGACTTGCTGTAACAGAGGCTCTGTCAGCAATGGGTGGGTAAGGCCACCCCCAAACCCTGGGGGAGCGAGGGGGCAAGGCTACCCCCAAACATTGTGAAACGGAGGGGGGCACCCTCAAACGCCACGGGAACTGGAGGGAAACTGAGGTCCTGCGCAGAGGCACTCTCCTGCCCAGAAAGGGGGGGAAGGGGGGGAAGGGACGGAGTTCAGACAGAGGAGCAGAGCGACTAGCCGACAGCTTCACCGCCAAGGAGCGGCCCAAGCCAGGCGGCCCGAGATGAAGGCACGGCGGTTGTCTCTCCAGCTCCACCCTCAGCTCTGTGGCTCCCCAGGAGCAGGGCAGGGCCCCCCTTCTCCCTTCCAGAGCACACAGAGCTGCGCAGCTGGCCTCTCTCTAGCACAGCTGCCTCCCACAGGTGAGCAGTGCAAGCGCAGGGCACCGTGTCCCGGACACGGGATTCATAATTCACTAGTGGGTTTCTGTGCAGGGAAGGCACTCGCATGCATTAAGAAACCCCCAAAGGCCAGCCCACGTCACTGACAAGCTCCTGCAGTGCGGGCACCGACACCGCTGTGCCCCGCCCCACACACGGTGAGCAGCGATCTTCCTGACACACTGCCCGCTCCCTGAAGCCGCCTGGCCGAGCCAGCGGGAGCCCAGCCCTCCCGAGCCTGGCCGGGCCAGCGGGAGCCCAGCCCTCCCGAGCCTGGCCGGGCCAGCGCCAGTGCCTGGTCCTCACCTCGCAGGTTCTTGACAAAGTCCTCCAGCTTCATTTTCCGCTCGGGCTTGACGTTGGGGCTGTACATGTCGGTGTTGAGCAGGATGATGGCGAAGGCCAGAATGAAGATGGTGTCTGGGTTCCGGAACTGCCTCACCACCCCGGGGTTGCAGATGCAGTAGCGCTGGCTGAAGGGAGACAGCTGGCCAGGGCCCTTGGGTGTCACCCTGTCCCCGGCCCAGGAGGGGGCTCACCCACGGACTGCGAGCAGACTTGAGGGGAGCACCCCGAAGCTCTGCCCGTCCCCCCATGCGGAGGCACGGAGCCAGGCATGGAGCTGTGCCCCAGCCCACGGGGGACGCACTGCTGCTTCATCACAATAGCGGACCTCCTCCCTGCCCAACCCCCCCCCTACCTCCGGGACCTCCGGGAAGCACCCTGGGGGGCCGACCCCCTCCCCACCCCCTGCCCTTCCTCCGGGGCCTCCTGTACCCCAGGGTCCTCCGGGAAGCACCCTGGGCCGTGAGCAGACCCCATCCTAGGCTTCCCGTGCCCTCACTCCCGGCCGCCCGGTGCCGACTCGGTCTGGAAGGGACACTGCACAGTCACAGCGCAGCTGGACCCTGCCCACACCGCCGTGCCAGCTGCCCGGCTCAGCCGGTCCCCAGACCCTAGGCCACTTCTTCCTTCCGCGCTCCCGTAGGGCCGTGCTATTGCCCTCCCCTCCTCACGGTGAGGAGTGAGGCCCGAGAGCCTTCTGGACCGCGAGCACGCTGACATGAAGGGAGCCAAGGGTCTGCATCCACGCGCGGGCCAAGCCGACCACGCGGAACCTGCCGGGGCTCACGGGGCTGACCTGAACGCCTCGATGAGCCGCTCCACCTTCTGGGCCTCCCCTTGGACGCGGATGTGTGCCTGGAACCTTCTGAGGGCCTCGTCCAGCTCCATGGCAGAGAAGTCCATCTCGTCCACCACGCAGCTGGAACAGAGGCAGGTGGCCAGCGTGAGAACCCTGCGCCCTTCCTCCAGCAGCGCGGGGCCCGGGCCCTCCCGTCAGCGAGCAACACCTCAGAATCTTCCAAAAAGCTCTCATGCTTCCAAGGAGCCCTTGCACCCCAAGCCCACGGGAGACGTCAGCGCCACGCGTGTGATTTTCTGCACTGTGGTGGCGCCGCCCCTGGCTGCCAGGTGGGCGCCGGGCAGCACCGCAGGGTGCAAGCTCTGCCCTCACCTGGACGGGACCAGCTGACACTCCAGGGACACTTGAATTAACCACACCGGCCGGTGGAGTGGAACTGGAGCTTCTGACTGCCCCTACCCCAGAGGCGGCTCGCAGTGCCTCCCGAGCGAGCCGAGAGCCGAGAGGTGCGTGCGGCAGGCCGGTCTCGAGCGGCAGGCCTGTCTCGAGCGGCAGGCCTGTCTCAGGCGCTGGTGCCTGTTCTCCTCGGATCACAGCCACGGCCACCATCGGCACAGTGGGGTACGAGAGCTTTGCTGGGGCTGGAGCTGGGGCCCCAGGGCCACAGCCTGGGGCTGCTGTTGGGCAGCTCTCCAGGAGGGCAGGAGCAGGTGGACAGCTTGCTGGGCTGGTGAGCACACTGGGGAATGGGCTGGGGGCCTTGCTGCTTCCTTGGGCCATTGCTATTTTCTGAGGGAGAACAATGCGCGGATTTCCTGTGGCCAGGAACCGCGCACGGAGGGGCCGGGCAGGATGGCTGCAGAGCCGGGCCTGGGCTGCGCTGCCACCGTGTCGCCAAGAGCGAGTCTGGCTCTCCCTACACATGTGAATTCAGAGAGGAGAGAAAGGCGGCCACGGCCACCCTAGGGCGGGCCGGGAAGGGGCACAAAGTAGGAGCATGGGACGAGCCCCACTGGGTGTCTGATCAGAGACACACCAGCGCTGCTGAGGCCTGCCGCGCACTCAGCCCCCCAACTCCCATGAGTCTGGGTTCATGTGCAGCACGTGCTGCGGCTGCATGAGCACATGCATGCTGGGGGCCCTGGCTCGACCGTGGTGTCCAGCCTGTGGAACAAAGAGGGACGGCACTGGCCACCGGCTCCCGGACACTAGGGATGCTTGCGGAGCCCAGACCACTCACCAGATGCCCTCCCCAGCTGGTCCCCTTCTCTACGAGGGCAAGGGGTGGCCCATGGAAGAAGAGACCACACTGGATGCTTGTGCGTGACTTCTAGCCCTGGTCTGTTGGACCCTAGTCTTTCTCTATTGGGTTCCAATATTCCTCAGACCAAGGGCTGGGGTTCCTGCTCCCCAGAGGGCGTGCACGCTGCCTCCTGCTACTACTGACAGTCCAGGGCCCTTCTGCTCGGCACTGTGCGCAGGAGAGGGGAGAGCTGCAAGGCAGACACCTGATGGAACTTGTCAAACGGGAAGCGAGGCTTCCGGAAGGAGCCACGTGCTCACTTCTCTACAAGGTTTCCATGTCACATCCGTGCTCAGGGCTCCGGGGGTGCAGACCAGGAGCACAAGGCAGGGGCGAAGCTGGAGCTGGCTGTCCACCGGGGACAGGCCCCTTTGGCCCGTGCTAGGGGGTGGCGGCCAGGCCTCCAGCTGGGGGCCACTGCCCCGTCCTGACCCAACGGCCACACGGCTGGCCTCAGGGTGGGGGTCGAACTAACCATGCATGGAGGGGGTGGGAATCGATGAGAGACAGCTGGTCCGGGGTGGGTGTGGATGTACCAAACAGCACGTGTGTGCAAGCACTGTGCACACGCACATCTACATGCGTCCATGGGGGTACGCCCCTCAGGACAGATGGCCCTCTGCTCCTCCACTCCACTCCTCTGGATCCAGCCATGACCCAACAGGCCACACAGACAAACCGTTTCCTGGTCCTACTCCCTAATCCGCAGCATGCCAGCACCGGGTTCCCACAGGTATGTGTCTAAGTGTGATGTTACAGGCAGCATTCAGGGCTTGTGTGAACTAGAGGGGCGTGAGCACCGGAGGCCTCTGGGGGGAGGGGGTGGTGGTCTGGGCGCTCTCTGGGAGTATGAGGGACTGCTGATGCGTGCCCGACCATGTGTGTGCGTGTGACAGCTGAAGTGTACTAAGTCCTGTGAGTATGACAGCTGTGTGCGTGCCCAGCCTTGTGTGTGAGTGTGAGCAGCTGGTATGGCCTGGTCCCATGTGTGAGTGTAACAGCTGTGTGTGCCCGGCCCGTGTGTGAGCTCAGCAGCCGCATGTAAGGCCTGGTCCCATGTGTGAGCGCAGCAGCCGCGTGTGAGGCCTGGCCCGTGTGTGAGCTCAGCAGCCGTGTGCATGGCCTGGCCCGTGTGTGAGCGCGGCAGCCGCGTGAGGCCTGGCCCGTGTGAGCGCGGCAGCCGCGTGAGGCCTGGCCCGTGTGTGAGCGCGGCAGCCGCGTGCGTGGCCTGGCCCGTGTGTGAGCGTGGCAGCCATGTGTGAGGCCTGGCCCGTGTGTGAGCGCGGCAGCCACGTGAGGCCTGGCCCGTGTGTGAGGGTGACAGGCGCGTGCATGGCCTGGCCTGTGTGTGAGCACGGCAGCCGCGTGAGGACTGGCCCGTGTGAGCGCGGCAGCCGCGTGCGTGGCCTGGCCCGTGTGTGAGCTCAGCGGCAGCCGCGTGCGTGGCCTGGCCCGTGTGTGAGCTCAGAGGCAGCCGCGTGCGTGGCCTGGCCCGTGTGTGAGCTCAGCGGCAGCCGTGTGTGTGGCCTGGCCCGTGTGTGAGCTCAGCAGCCGTGTGTGTGGCCCGGCCTGAGCTCAGCAGCCGCATGTGAGACCTGGCCTGTGTGTGAGCGCGGCAGCCGTGTGTGAGGCCTGGCCCGTGTGTGAGGGTGACAGCCGCGTGTGGTCTGGCCTGTGTGTGAGGGTGACAGCCGCGTGTGCACGGCCCGGCCTGTGTGCAGCGTGCCAGGCCCCATGTGTGTACGAGTGCAGGGCACACATCCCCAGGCCCGCGTCTGTCCCCAGGCCCAGGGCCCCAGGCCCGCGTCTGTCCCCAGGCCCAGGGCCCCAGGCCCGCGTCTGTCCCCAGGCCCGCGTCCGTCCCCAGGCCCAGGGCCCCAGGCCCAGGTCCCCAGGCCCGCGTCTGTCCCCAGGCCCAGGTCCCCAGGCCCGCGTCCGTCCCCAGGCCCGCGTCCGTCCCCAGGCCCGCGTCCGTCCCCAGGCCCGCGTCCGTCCCCAGGCCCGCGTCTGTCCCCAGGCCCGCGTCCGTCCCCGGGCCCAGGTCCCTAGGCCCGCGTCCGTCCCCAGGCCCAGGTCCCCAGGCCCAGGTCCCCAGGCCCGCGTCTGTCCCCAGGCCCAGGTCCCCAGGCCCGCGTCCATCCCCAGGCCCGCGTCCGTCCCCAGGCCCAGGTCCCCGGGCCCAGGTCCCCAGGCCCGCGTCCGTCCCCAGGCCCAGGTCCCCAGGCCCAGGTCCCCAGGCCCGCGTCTGTCCCCAGGCCCAGGTCCCCAGGCCCGCGTCCATCCCCAGGCCCGCGTCTGTCCCCAGGCCCAGGTCCCCAGGCCCAGGTCCCCAGGCCCGCGTCCGTCCCCAGGCCCAGGTCCCCAGGCCCAGGTCCCCAGGCCCGCGTCCGTCCCCAGGCCCAGGTCCCCAGGCCCAGGTCCCCAGGCCCGCGTCTGTCCCCAGGCCCGCGTCTGTCCCCAGGCCCGCGTCTGTCCCCAGGCCCGGCCCCCAGGCCCGGCCCGGGACTCACTCCAGCACGTCGCGGTTGAACTGCTTCTGTCGGTTGCCCAGGAACTCGCCGATCATCTGGCGGCTGAGGCCCTTGCGCTGCAGCAGGAAGTGGGCCACACCCACGGGCGTGTCAGGCACGAAGCCGCGTTCGATGAGGTACTGGACGCCCTTCTCGGGCTTCCTGTGGGAGATGAGAAGCATTGTCAGCCCAGACCGCCGCCCCAGGGACGGGCCCAACGCTGCTCCCACAGCCTGCTCTAGCCGTCTCTGGGCTACTCATGAATGCCCGGATGACCTCCAGGCCTCTTGTCCTGTCAACTCCCCAGCCCAAACCTTCATCCAGAACATGCCCAGGCAGGTCGGACCGGGCTGGCGCTGGGACCCTTGGCCCCATCTCCATGGCCCAGCCCCAGACCTTAGCGGTCCCCCATGCCTGGCCCGCCCCCGCCTGTGGCCAGGACTGCAGACTACGGCAGTGAAGAACTCGATTCCACAATACGGAGCATCCTCTGCCAGGCAGAGGGCAGCCAGTGGGGGCTCTGCCAGCACCCAGGACAGGGCACCCAGGACAGGACACCGTGAGGAAAGAAGGGGCTGGCTTCGGACTTGCTCTGAGGGTGAGGGAACGGGACCAGCTGGGTGTGCTGGCCGCAGAGACCGGGATGAGGAGGAGAGAGTTCAGGGCGGCTCCAGTCTCAGCCCACGCCCAGCAGAGAGGGACCACGCCCACGTGGACATAGCAGGGGAGACGACCCAAAGCCCACGGGCTGAGGAGCAGGGGCAGACCCAGGAGAGCGCGGCGAGGACAGGGGGCTCAGGGGCTGCATGCGGCCCTGGGCAGGGGAGGGGCGACCTCACCCCTGCACCACACCCCAGGCTCTCTTCCTGCCTCGCACGCGTGGCTCGGACCAGCCCTGGGAGAGCTGACTGGCACACTGCCATCCACAGCCGCCCACTTCTGCGTTCTGGGCCGGCCTCTGAGGCGCACAGGTGGGTCGGCGGGGCCACAGCGCCACCCCTCGCCTGCGGCCCACAGCGCCACCCCTCGCCTGCGGCCCACAGCGCCACCCCTCGCCTGCGGCCGGCCCACAGCGCCACCCCTCGCCTGCGGCCGGCCCACAGCGCTACCCGCCTGCGGCCGCACAGCGCCACCCCTCCCCTGCGGCCCACAGCGCCACCCCTCCCCTGCGTCCCACAGCGCCACCCCTCGCCTGCGGGGCCACAGCGCCACCCCTCGCCTGCGGCCGGCCCACAGCGCTACCCCACACCTGCGCTACCCCACACCTGCACTACCCCACACCTGCGGCCGGGCCCACAGTGCCACCCCTCCCCTGCGGCTGGGCCTACAGCGCCACCCCTCGCCTGCGGCCCACAGCGCCACCCCTCGCCTGCGGGGCCACAGCGCCACCCCTCGCCTGCGGCCGGCCCACAGCGCCACCCCTCGCCTGCGGCCGGCCCACAGCGCCACCCCTCGCCTGCGGCCGGCCCACAGCGCCACCCCTCCCCTGCGGCCGGGCCTACAGCGCCACCCCTCGCCTGCGGCCCACAGCGCCACCCCTCGCCTGCGGCCGGCCCACAGCGCCACCCCTCCCCTGTGGCCGGTCGGCCTGGGCCAGCTCTGGGGGGTGTGGGGGGAGGCAGATTCCGGCTCCAGGGGGACAGGGACGCCCAGAAGGAGCCGGCCCCTCCCTCTGGGTCTCTGTCACGTCGTGACTTGGCTGCGTGCTCCTGGGTGAGGGCAAGGCAGCGCAGGGCCCTGAAGCCGCCTGCTGGCTGGGGCGCTGCCAGCCGCCCCCCCCCCCGCCCCCAACGGCTCCTGGCCCCACCCCTGAGAGCCGCCAGAGGGGAGGCGGCGGCTGCCGGCCCCACGCCCGCCCATTGGCCGTGTTCCCGTGGCCCTGTGCGGCGGCACCCCACCCCTCTGCCACCCTCCCGCCCCACCCACAGGCCGCGCCAGCACCCAGAGCCCACTGTCTTGCGCACTGCCACAGGCTGTGTCCCCGCAGCCCAGAGCTGACCTCCGCCCTGACTCAGGGCCTCTCCTGCTGGGAGACTCGGGCAGAAGCTGGAGAGACTGGAGGCCACAGGAGCGCAAGCACCAAGCTCACCTCCTCCCAGAGCCACCCTGAGGCCCCGTGCCAGGGCTGCAAGTGGCCCCCAGCCCAGCTACTGGCCAATGCCAGGGAGGACACTGGGGGTTTTCCAGGTCTCGACCTGGAAAAGCCATGCACCATACAGACCTCAGAGGCCACACAGGGTCTGTAGGCACCTAGGAACTCCTCAGGGAGAAGGCTGAGCCCGGCAGCTCCCACACGCAATGCCGGCAGAAGGGCTGCGGCAAGGCGCAGGGCCCGGCAGCGTCCTTCCAGCCCGGCCGACCAGGCCATCTCCGGTCCTGCAGGGCTGCGGTCACCTTCCATCTCTCGTGCACTTCTAGGCTGTAGCTCCCGGCTCCCTGAGGTGCCTGCTCTATCAAGCTCCGATTGTGGGATCTCAAGGGCAACGTGGCTGCTAGGGTCTTCTCACACTTATCCCAAGTTGGGCCACCCTCTGGGGTGCGACTGGCAGGCCCTGCAGACCCCTCGGAGGCCTCAGCCGTCCCCGTCCACACAGGGGTGAAGACCCAGGGTGCGGGCAGCACAGGGCTCGCAGGGCAGAGCGGCGCCATACGGGAAGCAGGATCCCAACACACAGAAACCTGGGTCTAAGCATTCCTGAATGCGGCTTTCCTTAAGCTGTGGGCTCCACAGCCATCAGATGCGCTCCGGGCACTCGGGGCAGGCCCTGAGGCCTGGAGCACCGGCCTCGCCCCTGGAGACAGGATCCCTGCCTTTCACGGCCACCTCACGCCCAAGGTCTGCTCTGAGCATGGAAGCTTTTGGGCCTGGCACTGGACACACAGTGCTCACTGCTGCTGCTGAAGGCTGGCCAGTCCAGCTGTTGCCGGCCTCCTTATGGCAGGTCTGCCTCTGAGCATGGGCTCCCGCACGCTGTCCCTGGACAAGACTCGGAGCTGCAGTTAATGGTGTCATTGGAGTTGGATGTGCTGTGGCTGTCATGTGCAGGCACGTGCAGGTGTGTGCAGGAGCATGCAGGTGTGTGCAGGAGTGTGCAGGCGTGTGCAGGAGCGTGCAGACGTGTGCAGGAGCGTGCAGGCGTGTGCAGGAGCGTGCAGACGTGTGCAGGAGCGTGCAGGCATGTGCAGGAGCGTGCAGGAGTGTGCAGGTGCATGCAGGCGTGTGCAGGAGTGCAGGAGTGTGCAGGCACGTGCAGGTGTGTGCAGGTGCGTGCAGGAGCATTCTGTGCAGTCGCATGCACGCGTGTGCAGAAGTGTAGGTGTGTGCAGATGTGTGCAGGCATGTGCAGGCGCATGCAGGCGCGTGCAGGTGTGTGCAGGTGCGTGCAGGTGTTTGCAGATGTGTGCAGGTGCGTGCAGGTGTGTGCAGGCGCATGCAGGAGCGTGCAGGTGTGTGGAGGCGCGTGCAGGTGTGTGAAGGCGCATGCAGGCGCATGCAGGAGCGTGCAGGTGTGTGCAGGCGCATGCAGGCGTGTACAGGTGTTTGCAGATGTGTGCATGCGCGTGCAGGTGTGTGCAGGCACATGCAGGAGCATGCAGGGGTGTGCAGGCGCGTGCAGGTGTGTGCAGGAGCATGCAAGTGCATGCAGGTGCGTACAGGTGTGTGCAGGCACATGCAGGGGTGTGCAGGTGTGTGCAGGAGCATGCAGGTGCACGCAGGCGCGTACAGGTGTTTGCAGATGTGTGTAGGCGCGTGCAGGCACGTGCAGGCGTGTGCAGGTGCATGCAAGAGTGTGCAGGTGTGTGCAGACATGTGCAGGAGTGTGCAGGTGTGTGCAGGGACATACAGGAGCGTGCAGCATGTGCAGAGTGTGCAGGGCGTGAAGGAGCGTGCAGGCGCGCACAGCAGCTGGCACTGATGGGCAGCGGTGGGGGGAGGGGGACTCAGCTCCTTGTGAACACTAACCCGTCACCCTCACTGTGAGGACACATCTGCCCGGGGCGCTCAGTTCCACTCCCAGCTGTGGTCTCCAGCCCCTCCCAGCCTCCCATGGCAAACTGCGGTGATGGCCACCGCGGCCAGCACCCGCCAGCTCCCAGCCTCAGCCAAGGCAGCCCGCATCACAGGATGGCAGCAAATACTGGACCCTGGCGGTCCAGCCTTTCACAGGCTCCAGGCCGGTGCCCCTGGCATCAGCCCCGCTCACAGGTGTGAAGCCAGAGGTGGGCTGCTCCAGAGAACAGACCGGAAGCGGGGTGAGGGTCTAAAGCCAGGTAGATTGCCCTTAACTGTGACCACTACTGTTCCTAATGGCTGGGTGCACACACAGACAGAAAGATCTGGAAGGAGACTACATGTCACAGAGGTGCCGCCGAGCCGCCTCATCTCCACTCCAGCCTCTCCCTGTGCACTCTACTGGACCCCAGCTACCCCTGGCTCGCTCCCAGGACACTGGCCCGGGCCACGGGGTGGCCTGGCTTAGGCAGGGCCCAGGAGCAGCAGGGGCTGACTTAGGACATGCCCTTTCACCCCCTCTGCTCTGGGGTGGGGTGCGGAGGTCCTGTGTGCAGCAGGCCACACGCAAAGGGGTCACAGGAGCCACAGCCCTAGCAGGAGTGAGGGGTCCAAGATTCCTAGCTCCTGGCAAGACTAGGAGACCCAGCAGTGAACCACAGCCCTCCGCTGCCCCTCCACCTAGGGCTGGGGGCCCAGGCCAGCCGCTGACACCCCCATCCAAGGCTTCGCCTGAACCAGTGCCATGTCACCATCCTGTGGCCCTTCTGGGACACTTCCAGGTGCGGGCCTCGTGCTCTGTCAGCCCCGGGCCGGAATGGCATGGAAGCCCAGGGCTGCTGAGAGCAGGCCTCAAGGCCTCTGAGGGCACTCCTCCCTCCTCCCCTTCCACTCTGAGGGCACTCCTCCCTCCTCCCCTTCCACTCTGAGGGCACTCCTCCCTCCTCCCCTTCCACTCTGAGGGCACTCCTCCCTCCCCTTCCAGTCTGAGGATGCTCCTCCCTCCCCTTCCACTCTGAGGGTGCTCCTCCCTCCCCTTCCACTCTGAGGGTGCTCTGTCCTCCCCTTCCACTCTGAGGGTGCTCCTCCCTCCCCTTCCACTGAGGGTGCTCCTCCCTCCCCTTCCACTTTGAGGGTGCTCCTCCCTCCCCTTCCACTCTGAGGGTGCTCCTCCCTCCCCTTCCACTCTGAGGGTGCTCCTCCCTCCCCTTCCACTCTGAGGGTGCTCCTCCCTCCCCTTCCACTCTGAGGGTGCTCCGTCCTCCCCTTCCACTCTGAGGGTGCTCCTCCCTCCCCTTCCACTCTGAGGGCACTCCTCCCTCCCCTTCCAGTCTGAGGGCACTCCTCCCTCCCCTTCCACTCTGAGGGTGCTCCTCCCTCCCCTTCCACTCTGAGGGTGCTCCTCCCTCCCCTTCCACTCTGAGGGTGCGCCGTCCTCCCCTTCCACTCTGAGGGTGCTCCATCCTCCCCTTCCACTCTGAGGATGCTCCTCCCTCCCCTTCCACTCTGAGGGTGCTCCTCCCTCCCCTTCCACTCTGAGGGTGCTCCTCCCTCCCCTTCCACTCTGAGGGTGCTCCTCCCTCCTCCCCTTCCACTCTGAGGGTGCTCCTCCCTCCTCCCCTTCCACTCTGAGGGTGCTCCTCCCTCCTCCCCTTCCACTCTGAGGGTGCTCCTCCCTCCCCTTCCACTCTGAGGGTGCTCCTCCCTCCCCTTCCACTCTGAGGGTGCTCCTCCCTCCCCTTCCACTCTGAGGGTGCTCCTCCCTCCCCTTCCAGTCTGAGGGTGCTCCTCCCTCCCCTTCCACTCTGAGGGTGCTCCTCCCTCCCCTTCCAGTCTGAGGGTGCTCCTCCCTCCCCTTCCACTCTGAGGGTGCTCCTCCCTCCCCTTCCACTGGCTATTCTGGGCCCTGCTAAGAATAGTTTGCTGTAAATATCCACCGCCCTCCCCAGGGCCGCAACCAGAGCTGAGCGGCTGCCCTCTGTGAACCCCGGAGGAGCAGACTCCATGACCCAGTTCCCGCGGCTCTCCCAGACCTGTCCGCACCCTCACACACGGTGAGGACCCGCCTGTTTCTACCCCTGGGCCTTGTGTGTGCCCTGCCCAGCGCACTCTAAGCCTGCCTGCCCTTGCCACCCAGACCTGCCACACACCCGCTCCAAGGGCCCAAGCCTGACGGCTGAGCCCGGCCTGGCCCGGCCCCGCCTCTTGGCGTCCTGTGGGGAACACTGGAGAGGGAGCAATGGACAGGACCCGTGACCCACAGCTACATCCCTTCCCAAAAGGTTTCACAGAAAAGCTCCCATCTGCCCAGCTGTCCAGCAGTGGACACCGTGGGGAGCTGTGTCTCAGCACCCAGGCCCTGCAGGCCTTCTCCCCACAGACAGAGCAGGTCCCGCTCGGCCCCACGGCTCACTGCGCAGATGGCCCGGGCCTGCCCCGCCCCTCCGCCTGGCTCAGCCCCCAGGACTCACTTGTTGAAGAGGTTCAGCCCGATGCGGTAGTGGCGCTTGCGGATGACGTCATTGCTGAAGGCCGGTGAGTCCCAGCTGTTGCGGGCCTCCTTGTGGTAGGTCTGCTTGCTAAGCGTGGGCTCCCGCACGCTGTCCCTGGACGAGGACTCGGAGCTGCAGTTGATGGTGTCGTTGGAGTTGGACGTGCTGTTGATGCTGTCATTGTCCCCGTCGGAGTAGTCCGACTCAGACTTGCTTTGCCGATTGGCGGAGCCATTGATGGCCAGGTGGCTCTCCAGGGGCCGGGGGGGCCGGGGCCGCAGCTCGGGGTCCTCCCGGGTCAGGCCCTTGGGTGCGCCACCGTGGGAGCCGTGCTTGGGGCTGGCCGGCTGGCCTCCCAGGCTGCGCTCATAGGCGCTCTGCCTCTTGAGTGAGCCGCGGTCCGAGCGGTCACTGAGGTCCACCGAGCTGTCGCTGGGGGGCTCAATGGTGAGCAGGGGCAGGTGCTCCACCCGCAGCCGGGGCTCCTGCCGCTCCAGCGACGGAGTGCTCCGGCAGCTCGTGTCTGTGTCGGCCTTGTCATCCTTGTGGGCCAGGGCCCAATAGTCCTGGGCGGCACCCCCGACCCGCAGGCGCAGGTCCGACTCGGTGCTGGGAGGCCTCTCCCCGGCGGGCGCGAGCGGCAGTGGCGGCGACAGCTCCTCCTCGTCGATGTACAAGGTGACGTCGCTGTAGGAAGCGGTCATCTCGTCCAGCTTGTGGTGGTCCATGCTGTGCATGGCGGCCTTGGGCTCCGCGTCCCGCGCCCTCGCCGCCTCCGGGGTCGGCACCTCCTCGGCATGGAGGCTCCGGCAGTTCAGGGCGTCATCGATGGACTCGGCCAGAGACTTCACCTGCCGGGAGAAGGCGTCCTCCAGCTCTGTGATGGCGTCGGCGAAGTCACTGGAGGGGGCCGGAGACTTGAGAGCGGGCTCCCCGAGGTCTCCGCACTCGGAGGGCACCAGGGCGCCCAGCTGCGCGCCATCGTTGGTCAGGGAGACCTGCTTGCCCTCAAAGTAGGAGCTGTGCACTTTCTCGGGCCCCTCAAAGGAGAACTGCATCCTCATGTTGGACAGCACAATCCGGCGGGACATACGGTTCTCCGACATGGAGCTTCGGAGGCGCTCGAAGTTCTTGTTCATCTGGTATTGGCGGAACGCCGTTTGGATGGTGCGGGCTGCATGGCGGGTCACAAGGCGGCCCCCATACTTGCGTTCTAGCATCTCCACCTGGCGGGGGAAGGAACAGGAAGTGAGGCCAAGCCTGAGTGCTGGCCTGGCGAGCCTACCCAGTGCAGGGGCCCGGCCTGAGAGGACCTGCCACAGGCCACAGTTGGCTGGTGTACATTCCAAGACAAGATGGAGAAACCCCATGTTTGCCAGGCAGCCCCGTGGCTCACAATTATAATCCTACTCAGGAAGCTGAAATCTGAGGATCCTGGTTTGAAGCCAGTCTGGGCAGGAAGAGACTCTTATCTCCAATTAACCACCCCAAAGCCAGCAGCTGACCTGTGGCTTGAGTAGCAATAGCACCAGCATTGAGCAAAAAAAAAAAATCTCAGGTCCTGGGCGGGCAGGAGGGCTGCGTAGGCCGCCAGGGGGCAGGCCTCTGCCTCGCCCCGCTGCAGTGGCCACACCTCACCCCGCTCTTCTGCTCCTCTGCCTGAGAACGCTTCGGTGACATCCTTCCAGGGCATCTCAGGCCCAGGGCCACCAGCTTGGGCCCAGGCTCGCTTTAGGGCCTCTTCTCCTGCTGTCCCTGGACCTTGAGGACCAGAGCCACCTGCTACCTGAGCCCTGCCCAAGTCTGTGCGTGCGTGTTGGGGTCAGGACTGCAGGGAGGCAAACGAGAGCTCTGGGAGAATCACAGGGCCTCTCCCCACCTCTCCCCAGCACACACCACCCCAGGCGCCCCTAACCCATCCCAACTCACCACTCACTCCTCTCTCTATCTCTCTCTCTTTCCCTCTTCTTTTTCTTTTTGTTAGTTGTGGGGCTTGAACTCAGGGCCTGGGCACTGTCCCTGTGCTCGTTTTGCTCAAGGCTAGTCCTCTACCACTTTAAGCCACAGTACCATTTCCAGTTCTTTTGATAGTTAATTGGAGATAAGAGGCTCATGGACTCTCCTGTCTGGGCTGGCTGGCTTTGAACTGCAATCCTCAGATCTCAGACTCTTGAGTAGCAAGGATTATAGGTGGGAACCACCAGTACCCGGCCAATCACTATTTTCCTAGCCAGAACTGATATGAGGCCCCATCTACTACAGCACTGGGACCAGGGAAAGCTTAGCTACAGGCTGAGCCAGGGGACATGACCCTCCTGAGACCTCACCCACAGCGCCCGGCCCAAAGGGGTCCCTGGGGGGAGGCATGTGGTCCAGGGCCCCCGGGCAGCGGTGGTGGCCAGCCAGGGCTAGACCCCCCCCCCCCCCAGGCCCTCTCATACAAGGGACAGTGAACAGAGTGAACGAGAATAAGTCTGCCCTCCCGCAGGGCAGAGCTGTTGGCACTTAGTGACGGGGGCCATCCTTGATGTCCACCGGGCCCCTGCTCTCAGGGACAGGAGAACCCCGACACCCACGTGGCTCCTTTGCTGACGGGACTCTGCGCCACTACACCCCATGCGGGTCTCACGAGTCCCGTGCCACCTGCCCCCTTCCGCCTTGCCTGGCCCGCTGGGACGCTCCACAGGCAGGAAGTGCTACGCGACCGCCAGCTCCTCCCTGTCATCTACTGTCCCCAACACGCGCGACGCTCATTCCTGCCTCAGGGCCTTTGTACCTGCCATCCCTTCTTCCCACAACTCAGCCGCCCTTCATCCACTCCGGTCCGCTCCCCAGCACACAGTCCGTGTCGGGTACCCACAGACACTTGGCTACTACAGGTGGAATGAAAACCAGCAGCTGCAGCACACGAGCCCTGAACTTGGGCCCCTGTGAAGCCTCAACCTCTCGTTTCTATTTTAAGGGTGCCACGGAGACGTCTTTGGTTTTAAACACGCAGCAGGGCTGCCTGGGCACCCTGCACCGCAGCCTCTGTTCACTCCTAGTCCTTCTCGGGGGCCAGCTGTGCGCACGCTGGGGGCCCCCTGGGGGCCACGTGGCAGGGTTGCTTTGCACACAGGCATTCCACACACCCCCAATGTGAGCCTCTCCCTTGGCCAAGGCCCCTGGAGACCTGCTGGCATGGTGAGCACCTCCACTCAGGCAGCTGGAGGAGGACGAAGGTGCCCAGTGCTGTCCCCCGTCTGGGCCTGTCCCCTGGGCCCTAAGGATGCGTGTCCTATGACGCTGGCTGTGGACTGAGACCCACACTCTCCAATCTCTGCCACACAAACACGGACACCACAGAAGAGGCTCTGGAGCCGTGCCCAGCCACTGCCTCCACACTACACGCCTCCCACATCTTGGGGCCAGGCTGGCGGAAGGTTCTGGGTCACCTGGAGGAATGAAGCAGGCCACGGTCTCGGTGGCACACCTCGGCTGGAGTTCTGCCAACCAGAGGGACCCTGCGCTGGCCCCGGGCCACCTACCTGCTTGTCCTGCAGGTCAGAGGAGAGCTCATAGCTCTCGGACAGAGACCGCGAGCGCTTGATGGCCTCCTCTTCCGCCTGCTTGCGCAGGATGGAGGTAGAGTGCTGCAGCTTGGGCCTCCGCGTGCGCTGCTGCCCCGGCGGGCCCGGGTACAGCCCGTAGGCTCCCACCGACGCGTGCTCGTAGTGGTCCGGGCTCAGGCTTGAACCAGGCACCAAAGGGCCCTGGTGGTAGGCGGAGGGGCTGTCCAGGGATGTGCCGGCCTCGCTGCTGGGCACCTCGCCCTCGACGCTGCAGAGGAGAGAGAGGCTCCGTGAGCAGAGCAGAGCCCAGGTCTCGGCAGGCACAGCCGCCCACGCTCCTCCTTCCCTCCCGCCTCCTTCCTCACACAGGTCAGCCTGGCGTCTTGTGGGCTTCCTGCAGGCAGGCGCTCGGCAGACACCCCACGAGCAGGACCTGATCCCCGAGCCACCTGCCAGTAGCCCAGCAGGGAGGATGGACCGGCCCTTCCCAGTTCACCATGCTGCCCCTGCCTAGAGCCCGGGGAGCTGAGCAAACACGCCTCTGTCCACGGCGAGCAACTCAGCCCTCTGTGCCTGAACACAGCTGCCGGTCCCCGGGCAGCCTACAACCGGGGAGTCACAGCGACTCCCAGAGGAACGCTGCTTGGGGCAGGGCTACAGAGAAGCTGGTGCCACTGCCAGGCTGGGCCGGGCCCTGCTCTGCGGCACGCAGGGCTACAGCAGGGCCCAGGCAACAAGCATGATGTCAGAATGGGCATCATCCACCTGGAGGGGGGCTCTGGACTTAGGGAAGGGGCACGAAGGAATGTTCTGAGCGGTGCCAGCTCAGATTTCCCACCGTGAGCAGCTTTGGGCCAGCAGGCTCTGGAGGGAGGGAGGAGGGAGGGAGAGCAGTCCTCCAGTGCACCCTCCCCAGGAAGGGAAGGGCTGGGGTCACCACAGCCAGCACTTCCACCCCCGGGCCCAGGACCTCAGTCCTTCCTCCCAAAGCAACTCCAGCTGTGTACAACGGTCACCACCGGATGCCAAGTCCTTGTGAATGGCCCTCAGGTTGCAGCAGCCTTTCCAAACTCCACAGCAGACCCAACTCAGACCACCCTGATAAGAAAGGAAATAGCGAGGTGGTCCCTGGCACAAGGCCGCCTCCCAGGGGCTCTCGGGCAGGCCTAGGGACAGCAGCCGCACGCAGGCCTCTCCCCACCTAGCTAAGTCCTATCGGGACCTAGGAACAGTGCCACTCAGAAGCCACACAGTAGTAGATACCAAGAAGCTGTTCTTAATAGAGCTTATCATACTGATAAACAAAAAGATGCCATGTTTCTACTTCATGATAGGTTCACTGGGTATGGTGGCTGGCAGGTGGCTCCGATGTGGACACATTTCAAGTCTCTGTGCACAAGTCTCTAGCTGAGACCTGTGGGTAAGGGGCGACCAGGCTGGCCCCCGCCATCACTGCCTCTGCATCTCAACACCCCAGCCAGCAGATGGCACCCAACAGCACCCTGAATTCACCTCTCCCAGATGCCCAGCCACATGCAGAGCAAGGAATGAGGTAGGACGCCCTGCAGCTCAGCTTCTGGATGTTCTCTCAGGAGATGCTCGTGGGCCAGCAGCCCTCTTCCAGACGCTTAGCTAAGACATCAGCACCTCTGTGACCCCAGCTCTGCAAAGGCTCGGGTAGGAAGACTGCAGCAGAGATTGCCCTATCCAAAACTACCTAAAAGCAACAGAGCTGGGGGCCTAGATCAAGTGGTAGGGTACCTGCCTAGCAAGTACTGCCAAAAGATAAGAACAATACGCAAAGGGGTAAATACAAGGATTTCCACAGCAGTGAGATTTTTCTAAGTACAGAAGATCGGAGATAATGTAAACACTCATCACCAAAGGACTTAATTTAATTCTAAGTCGGCATCACGAAACTAATGTCGAGACGGGTAAAGATCTGGTCTGACAGCTGTTCTTCTAGAAGAGACTTGGAGATGGTTTGGGTGACTCTAAGATTAATGGGAACTGATCCGCCACATAGCTGAGCCAGAAACAAAAATAGCTCTGCTATAGTTGTCAGATCACACAAAAGACGAGTCCAGAGCCAGGGTGGGTGTGCTCACCTGCCCAGCAGGCATGGCGAAGTGGTCACAGACTCCTGAAGACCACGGGTGGAACCCCAGTCCCCTGCCTGAGCAGCAACGCACACAACAGATCCTCGCTGGCACAGGGATGGACTCCAGTTGCCAAGCCCACTTCACAGAGCTTGAGGTTTCCTACCAGGTGCTGGGACTGCAGGGCTAGAAAGAGCAGCCAGCGGGAGGCGGTGGGCCGTTCACCAAGCCTGGGCAGAATGACAAGCTGAGGCTGGAGTGACTTTCTCCAGGGGATGAACTACATCTGGTCTATACTGCCGAGCACAGGACACTCCGGAGGGAGAGCTTTCTGCCTGTGGAGGTGCATGCCTGGCAGGCTCTAACTCCACCAGGAGCATGGTGCCAAGGCCTCTTGGCCCAAAGGGAAGCCCCAGCACCACAAAGGCCATTTCGTGTTGTTACCTTTGCTGTGTTTTGTGGGCTCAGCTTAACTCCACTCTCCTGCACGCTGGCGTGTGTGCGCGCTCTGCCCAGCTACCACGAGGCCCAACACTCTCAGACCTCAGCAGACAGAAACTGGGGAGGGGAGAGGAGGGGAGGGGGATGAACTGTCCTCTGCACATTGCATTCCAGAGCCCCTAAGAGCCCCCGTCCCGGCCAGCCCTCCCCCACCTGGGGCTCCACGCCCTGGCTCACTGAGGGCCACATGTGGGCCCCGGAGGGGGCTGAGCACTGCGGGGGCCACCCCTGCCCCTCAGGAGGGCAGCTCCCTCCCTACCCTGCCTCTCTCCCTCATTTGGTTCCACTGCTCTCCCTGTGTGGCTGGGAGAAGGAAGCCCGTGCCTCAATGTCTACTCCTGTACAGAGCGGGTAGTCAGCGGAGCGACTTTACCTGTGCTCTGCAGAGCTGACGCGGGAGGCCCCTCCCAGAGAGTGCTCTGCTCACAGGAGGAACGCGCTCTCCAACCCGCACAATGCAAGTGCATATACTCACACGCACACATGTTCACGCGGACACATACCTGTGCATGTGTGCACATGAATGCCTATGTGCCCACATCAGCACCCACGGGCTCACCTGCTTCTCTGTTCACTCTGCTCCTACCCCTCCCTTCAGGTTTTCTGCCCAGGTCATGATCACTCCTACCCACCCACCAAACACCATGAGAGGCCTGGCTCAGAGGTGCCACCTCTTGACCACGTGCCATCAGACCCGGGAGGAGGGGATGAGGTGCCTTGCCCAGGAGGCCTTCAGCTCACCCGCCTGGCTGGCACATCCACACCACCCTGCTCCTGCTGACCCCACGTCCACCCCGTCCTCACAGCCCTCAGGCTCAGCCTGGGGAACAGCAGCATGCGGGGGCGCAGGTCTGCGCAGGACGCAGACTCTGCCTCCTGGTGCTCTCAGAACACTGTAGCCAGGGCCGACCATGGAGCCCCCTGGAGCCCCGGCAGCAGAGCCGTGAGCTGCTCCTGAGCGGGTGCCCGGCTCTTGGTGCAGTGACCTCCCCGCAGGGCACAGCTGTCCACATGAGCAACTGCCGGGGCTCCCTGGGGCTCCCCTTCTATACTCACGGACCCCGTTTCCTCGGCCCTAGACAGCTCACCGAGACTGGTGGGCTGCCCCTCTCTAGCTATGCCGCACAGGCCTTAGGAGTCCCTTCTCTTTCCCTCCCCAGGCCGTGCCTGGGTGTGCACACAGACCCTAGCCCAGTAAGAGCAGTGCGGTCTCCCGCTTTTTCTGCACAGTCCGCCTAAATTCTCACAGCCCGGCAGCAGGAGTCTCACAAGGGAGCCGGTGAGGGTTGAGTGAACAGGCCCCTGCCTTGCCTGGCATCCTGAAGGGCAGGACCAGAGCGGGAGGTTACACTTTAGAAAGCTGTGCTGCCCTGAAAGCACAGACGGCAGGGAATCTGGCTGGATGTTAACCTACATGGCGTCTAGCTGTGGACTGGCTCTTGGCACCCCTACCCAAAGAGGGTGCCCCCATATGATGTGGCCTCCCAGGCCACGGGCAGCCAGACTCATTAATCCCAAGACCCCAGGGACACCTGCCCCTGGAGGCCAGCAGCACCCAGTGGTCAGGTGGCGGAGATACCTCCGAGGCCACAGCCCTGCAGTGGTGACCCTGACGCAGGCTCCAGCTCCACAGAACCCCAGTGCTTCGTCTGTAGAAGACAGCGGCCCCCCAGTTTCTCCCCAGGTCCCAGCTGTGGCTAGGGTGTAGGCCACATACTGCAGATGCCCAGCCCGGGGTCCCTGACACAATGGGATAAACAAGAAGAGAGCCGAGCATGCCACACCCAAGCGTGTGTGCATACACCCCTATGTACACACGTGTCAGTGTAGTCATGCACACCTGTGAGCATGACACGCATGGGACTGTGCACATACAACTGCACGTTTACATGTGTGTGCACTCCTATTTGTGTGGACATTTGTGCAATCTGTCTTGCACATGTATACACCTGGGTATGTATGCAGGCATGCAGACACAGTCTTGTCTACATGTGTAGATATACATCGGTGTGTGCGTGCACGTTACAGTTACGTTTGTGTGTATGGCTGGCCCTCCTGACTTGTGGCTCCCACAGCATGGGTTTTCAACCGTCTGCTTGACTGAAAATGCCCGGGTAACAGTGTGAACACACACACATTTAGTCTAACAAGTACTTGCTCAGCTCTGTTCCCAGGGAGTGTGCTCCTCGCTGGGCTCGGGAAGAGAGGACTGGAGCAGCAGCTTGTGAACCCTAGAGCACTCGACTGCGGGGCCCGAGCGGCTCCCGGTAGCACCATACCCATCATGGACTCTGCTGAGTCCTTGTCCTCGACCGGAGCCCCTACGGGCTGTGATTAGAGACTTCCGTGGCCAAAAGTCCAAGGTCCCCTTCCCTCACTGACCCACTCACGGCTGCAGCAGGACAACATGACACGGTGGCATCTACCAGCGGGGCCTGGGCTGGGGTCAAGTCCCATCATCCGGCTCCCCGGAGTGGGAAAGGCGGTGGATCAGGTCCCAGGGGCCTTGGCTCGGGGAAAGGACCAACAGGCAGGCAGAGGTGACCGTGTGGGCATTACACTGCACAGGGCGAGCTCCTCCCCTGCCCTCTTCCCGGGCCTCAGGGGCCCCTCCAGCCTGGCACAGCCCCACAGGGCTCTGTTCCTCTAGGGTCCTCCCTGCTCCTCC